TGCCCGCCCGCGCCCGGCTGGATCGAGAGGCCGGCGGGCACCGGCGGCTTCTGGGACAGCAACTGGGACAGGTGGGCGCCGCGGCGGGGCCGGGGGCGGCCGGGGCTGGCGGGGGGGCCGGTTTGGTGCCCGCGGCTCCGCTCGCGAGCGGGGCTGGACCGGCCTGAAGGCGGGATCGAGCCTGAGCTCCGGCCGAAAACGGGGATTGAGCTCAAACTTCGGCTAAAAACACGTATATTGAGCTTAAACTCGTGCTAAGTGTTATATATGTGTATATATAATGCATAAGTATTTTATATATATGTATAAATATATATATAGGGGTATGTGTGTATGTATATGTGACTTGAACGTGGACTAAATATGCATATAGCTGTAGATATGTCTGTATGTATGTTTATACATACATATCTGTATATACACGCACACACATATACATGTAGACTTGAACACTGTCAGGTTACCAGGAGCCCTCTGTAAAGGAGGAGGGTTTGAAAGGGGGTCTCTGGATTTGGAGAATCCAGAATCCAGGGCGTCTCTGGGTTTGGGGGAATCCAGATCCGGGGAATCGATCCCCACTGGCTCCTGGATCGGGGCAGTGGGAGCCGGCCCTGGGCCCGGATCACGCAGGGAGCCAGCCGGGCGCTACTCCAGCTGGAGCTGTGGGGATGAGCTGCTGAAACTGGGATGCACTCCATACTGGTTGGGTAGGATTTCATCTTGCGCCACAGAGAGCCCTGCAGGAGGGTCTTCCTGTGTTGTACTTGGGACAGGACGGAGACGTCTCCCTCCCTGGACATGTGCAAATCACTTTATTGTAGTTTCCTTCCCTCGTGAGTTTGCAAAGTTTTAGTGCTTGCACTGATCAAAGCCCAAGGGCGCAGCAGGCTTATCTAATGTTTCAAGCCAGAATTAGCCCTATTTCTGTTTTGCTTCATTTCTACACAAAATTGCTTCTTTTTAACAGTCCGCTAGTGATGTTGACCCCTGAACTGCAAGTCAGTGTGGGCAATATTGCTTTGAGCTCTTAATTTGGTTGTGTTTTTAATAGTGTTGTCTCCGTTCACCCCAGGGATAACTCCCTTTTTTTTTCCTGATCCAGCAGTTAGGATGTGCAAATGTCTGTTTTGAGCTTTGGCTCATTCAGCTTGTCTGCTAGAATTATCTCCCTGGGGAGACTTATGTCAGTCTCCTGTTTAATCATAGTAAATCCAAACCTAAGCACTAACAGATTTTTTTTTTATTGTAATAAAATCCTGATTTGATTTTTGAGATGAAGCAGAATCAAATGCATGTTTAAGTAGGGCTCTGTATGCCCTGATTATAAAATTCGTAGTGACTTTCATTAAATACAGTTATTTCTAGTTAAGTGATACTAAAACTACATCTTTAATTGTAGAGCCTGATTTTGCTATGTATTTGTCCTGATGCAAGGGTGCTTTAACTTTCTGAGAGCTGGGAGCCTCTTTTGGTGTCTCAGTGCTCCTGATACAGGGAGCAGAGCTGGGGCTGCAGTTGAGGTGTGTGGCAGAGTTGCCCAGGCACATGCCAGCTAGGTGATATTTAATAGCAGATGAGTGTGACACACTTTTCATTGTGATTAATGTTGCAAGAATTAGTTGAGAGGTGACTGTTGCTAAAGAGAAAATCTATTAATGTCAGTTATACCTTCTGACCTATGACATTAATGTCTCTTTATTTCTTTTTTGACTTAAATGTGGGCTTCTGTTTATAGTTGTTGCACAGTGGTTTAAATCAGTTTTACTCCATAAATGGCTAAATAGTAATTTGAGTATTTCAGTTAAACTTGGAACTAAGGCAAGATTATCCATATGTAAAGAAATTCCTCTACCTTTTAATCTTTCCTGTGTACAAATGTCTCTTTAAATGTATTTGTTTAGRCGTGAACCACTGGCTCTTATCAACCTCAAGAAGAAAAATGATGAAACTGGGGAAGAAGAACTTGCCTCACGTTTAGATCACTGCAAGGCAAAAGCCACCAGGCACATATTCCTGATCCGCCACTCACAGTACAACCTGGACGGCCGGGCTGATAAAGATAGAACTCTGACCCCACTTGGTATGTAACGTTAGAAATACTTAGAAATATTGTACTCCTTATTTTGAATTTAAAAAAAAAAAAAAAAGGAAGCTTCTGATTTGCCACTATCTTGATCTGTACATGTCAGTAACTCAGCTCTGTTTTGGGTCCCGCTACCAAATTCTCCGGGGCTAAGGCTTTTATCTGAAACTTAGCTCTGTGACTTGCTTGGAAATAAATTGCTTATAAGATGCATTCTGTTTGTCTTAGTTAATTTGCTGAGTTATGAAAAGATATTATTTATTTTTAACCAGACTCTCTTTTGGAGTGTTTCTAATTAGATATATTTCACTTTTGGAGCTAAATAGGTTTTCTGGGAATACTACTGATCAGTTGCATGAAATTATAATTACAGCCATCTGTGTCACTCATTGATCCTGTGGCTTGATAGTGAACTGATATCTCTGCTTAGCAATTTTTTAGATCGACTATGTGATGTTCTTATTGAGTATCAGCAGCTTAAATAGTGAATGTCGTTTTTAAGGTCGAGAACAGGCTGAACTGACTGGGCACAGACTGGCCAGCTTGGGGCTGAAATTTGATCAGATTATCCACTCCTCCATGACTAGAGCAACTGAAACAACTGAAATAATCAGCAAATATCTCCCTGGTAAGTGACTTCTGTTAATGTGCCGGGGTCTTCTCATCCTCCAAGCTGCTTCCAGCAGAATTTTAAGCTTGTCCTTAAGGTGTAATTGAGCTGTTCATAACCACTTTCTAGACCTGTGTGAATATGTCTGTCTTTGAAATTAAAGAAACTAACCACCCTAATTCTGCTTGTTTCCAGTTCATCTTTAAAAATACGAGAGGGAGCTGGCCCCTCTGAGTGAATAGGCTGGTACCAGTATGTTCTGCTGTGTAGGAGAACTCTGCTGATTGCTCTTCCTTCCTTTACACATTTGTAAGCAAAGACTGTCACAGGTCTACAGGATAACTTCAGTCCTTACCTGGCCATAGTGCAGGAGAGAAACAGACTCCAGGTGTTAGTGGTGGGTTAATTAACAGCCCTTAAGCACCATGTTAGAGAAGTGGCACACCTGTGGAGGTAAAGGATCTAGATTTCTGTAGAGAGTGGGGTGCCTGCCGTGTTTTTTGTTCTTTTTCCCTCGTCCTTGCCCAGTAACTGCCATTTAAGCAAAACCTTGGCTGTCTGTAAGTTATGATGTGAGTATCTGGTCTAAACTCCACATAATATTTCTGCACATCTCAGTCGCACTGAAATGCAGAAATTACTGATTGCAGTGAAATCTAATGTAAAAAAATGTAGAAATCTAATAAAAATAGTTCAGATGCCTGGATACATACGCAAAGACTTCTCACGATAGCTGTCTCTCTCTGGAGAAAAGTCCATTCTTATTAAAAATTCTGTTCTAGTTCTCTTGAGTCCAAAAGACTAAAAGAGATTAAAACATTAAAAATGTAGCATTGACATTTCTTATTGGCTTGTTGTTTTAGATTTACAACTTAAGGTAGCGAAGAGAAGTCTCTACTTACTGTGCCAAGTTTGTTTAGCTGTTCTGTTGTTTTGGAATAAACTTCCCCTTGCTTTTGACAAAGCAGTTGTGTTGTRCAAATTCAAAGTCCTAAATAGGGAATTACGTAGATTAGAATGAACTCTAGGGTTGAGATGAAGGCGTTTTTGTATATAGTATTTGAAAAAAAATGTATTAGGCTCAAGTTTTGTGGACCTGTTTGCAGTGTAGCATGAAGCAACAACAAGTTCCTGAACAGGTATATAATTTTTCAGGAGTCAAAAAAATYAGCACTGATCTGCTGAGAGAAGGAGCACCCATAGAACCAGATCCRCCAGTCTCTCACTGGAAGCCAGAAGCTGTGGTAACTTTTTATTTATTGGTTTGTTGATTTTTAACCCTCTAACACATGATGTCTATACTGATGCTTTTCATCATAGACCCTAGATAACTACATATTTTCCCCTCCCCAGTAAGTGTGTGGAATGGTTAAAACAACTCACATTTGGGTCAGCCTCAAGCGTGTATCTCTAAAGACCCCCTTTAGAAGATGCACCCCATCTGCAGAGGCGGATAATGGCACATGCTGCTGGGAGCCGTGTTTAATTATGAACTCTGTGCCATTAGCAGTATTACGAAGATGGAGCTCGCATTGAGGCTGCTTTTCGAAACTTCATTCATAGAGCTGATGCAAAGCAGGAGGAAGACAGCTATGAGATCTTTGTCTGCCATGCCAACGTGATCCGTTATATTGTGTGCAGGTACCTGTGGGATTCCATGTTCACCTATGCTCTCAGAAAGCTTTGCTCACATAGTGATGTTGCTTGTGCTGCTCACCCAGGAAATCTGTTGGTCTGGCAGGTTTTCGTGAGGTTGGTGATGGGTACCCGTGTTAGGAGCAGCTGCTCCTGCAACGTGATTATGGCATTAATTTGCAGATGTGATAATGTTTTTGAAAGCTAGAATATTTCCCCTCTGATTCTAATGTGAAAATTACTAAGCCTAGAAAAAAAAATCTTGGAGGCTTGAAACTACCTTTTGYAGGTCTTTATTGCATCTGCTTCACRCACAAAAAACTGTGGACGGTGCCTGTGTGGGCTGTCAGATAAGACAACAAATAGAGCATCTGTCTGGGTGTCTCTCTTAAAGTGACATAAATTTGATCTCACGTACTGAAAGATCTCTCTAGCTTTGGGAAATCTTTACTAATGGAAGATAGTGGTATTACCTTGAAGTTATGTTAGTGGATCCTTCAAGGACACCCAGTGCTGAATTGGGGTGGGGGAAGCGGATCTTCCATCAAGGTGGCTCATGAAGGAGAAAACAGTCCCTGGGGCTTTGCCCAGGACTAGTCACTTGAGCCTGTTTTATTCCTCTCCCCCATCAGCAAAGCACTGTCTGTGAGATGATTTGTCTTGAGCAGGACACTTGTGATTAAATTTAATCTAATCAATAACTACAAAGTCAGCTTTATTTGGCTGAACTACTTAAATGCTATCCTGTCTGCAGTGTGGACTGCTGTAAAGCTCTGCAGTATTCATATGCTGACAGTTACTGGTCAAATAAACTGGATATTTTTTCGTGTCCCGAAAGAGATTGTCTTGCCACTGCCTAGTCTTTTGCTGTAATACAAAAGGATGGAATTAAAGGCAGAGAGAAAAACTAATTCTCTTCTGTACTTTACCTTTTACTCTAGGCCATATGAGAATGAAACTGAACACAGTTTGACTTGGGTGGACGTCATTATTTATATTATTCTTGTAAAATTTTGTCCTATATCCAAAGTCAAGTTACTCCTCAATGTCATCTATGACAGGGGATGTTTGAGAGAACTTTAGATTTTGTGAGAATTTTTCTCTGGCTATTTGCTACAATTAGTTGAACTCTGGAGACTGTTAGGAATTTTAGGATAAAATAGCTAGAGACCAGGAAGGCTTGTGATACTGATTTTTTAGGGTGATTATCTTTTTGATACAAGAAACTGATACCTGAAGGAAGGTGATTCCGGTGGCTTTCTGCAGTAGGTAATTGGAGTGCATCGTAGGCCATTACATCCTGCCTGCTGTGGCTGCCTGTGGTGGTTTCAGCCTTGTGGCACTGCTAGGCCTGTGCCTGGTGCTTATGCCTTTGTTCTGTGTGGGCCAGGGAGCCCATGTGCCATGAACTGTCCTAAACAGTGCAGGGTTTTGTGGTACCGCAGTTGGCTCCGTGATCAGCTGAACCATCACATCTGTCCTCCCGCTTGTTATTAGGTTGCTCAGAGCTCTCCCAGCAACCTGGCTGTGTTATGGCATCTGCCCAGCTGCACTAATCCTCTCGCTGTTAATCACACCCATCTGCTGGCTTCCCCAGATGAAAGTGCTCTGTTGGCGCTGGCCCCCTTGTCTGAGCTGCGTTTTCCTCCCGGTCCCACACCGGGATCTGTCTCCCCGGCGCTGCCCGTGTGGGCGCGTTTGCAGGCCGCAGGAGCCGCGCTCGCTCTGCCCTTATCTGCCGCAGCAGATGATGCAGTCAGCTGCATGCTAATAATGCCACTGTTTATGGATGAACAGCATGACTTGTATTTTATTTTTATTTTGTTCCTAGAGCGCTGCAGTTCCCCCCAGAAGGCTGGCTGCGAATGTCCCTCAACAATGGCAGCATAACCCACCTGGTGATCCGGCCCAACGGCAGGGTGGCGCTCCGGGCGCTGGGGGACACGGGCTTCATGCCACCGGATAAAATCACACGCACCTGACCGAGTGGCACCGCGGGCCGGCCGGGAGCTGCCTCTGGTCTCTTTGCACTAGTACCTTCAGCTACAGTACCACTAGATTATCTGCTGTGTTGGGATGTGACGCTATTTTAAAATGTCTTTTAGCCCCTTGCCTCCTTCATCCATATTCATATCTGCCTTTCAGTGCAGAAAAGAAGAGATTCTGTGTATGCCTGAAGCTACCCAGGCCTCAAGTGTTCCCAAAAAACTCTTAACTTGAGCTGTGGAATACAAAAAGATTGAATGTCTGTGTGCTCACCAGCTGGGCGAGCACTACTATGTATTTATTTTTTTTCTTCTCTCTCTCTCTCGCTCTTTCTCTCTGTTTTTCCTCCTCTCTTTTCTGCAAACTTTTGTAACCAAAGCTTGCTCCTGTGGATGTATTTTGTGCAGGAAAGCAACTGGTATGGGACCTGGAGAGGACAGCCCGTATCACACTGCAGCTAGAACTGAAGATGAGGAAGCTTATTTCTGCTCTTGCAGAAGTAACTGAGGGAATTCTGCCCTTTAAAGGACAAAGGGTTAAGGCTTTGGGCTTTTTTTTTTTTTTTTTTTCCTTCTCTTTTTAAAGCTATTGAGGATGTATCTCTGTGGCATCCTTGTTACCTTCTGCCATCCCTTCCTCCACCCAAGTTAATGTAAACTGTGCCTGGAGTTGATGGACATAAAAGAAAAGAAGGTTAAGAACCCATTTGCCTCAGAGCTGTGGTGCTAGAATTACCCGCTGCTCCTATTGAGTGCTCTGCCATCCTTGGCATGCCCTTAAAGCTGTTCTGAGCAATGTTCTTGAGTCTCATAAAGCCTTTAACTAAAACTTGGCCTGTAGGAAGGTGCAGGSATGAGTAAAGGTGGAAGAAAGAGAAAAGCAAGATCTTTCCCTGGTTCTTCTTGTTATGACTCTCATGTTTACAAGGACTAGAGACTTTTCTGCTTTTTTCCCATTGATTTGTGTTTAGTAGTTTGCTTTCCAAGTACAGAAGTAACAGCTTTGAGGTTCAAAATACATGTGAGTTGAAAGTGGAGGTTCTGCAGTACTGAGACAAACTCCCTGTGCCTGACTGGAGAAGAGTGGTGGTGTTTGGACCCCTCTGTGAAGCGATCAGTATAAATGTGGGGCAGGATGCCTCCSAGTTGCTCCTTTGTACAGCTTTGATTCTGCAGAACTTGTTTCAGGTAAAATGTGTGCCTGAGAACCAGGGTTTAATTTGAGGAAGCCACTCAGATGAAGAGCATTTGCTGTTCCCCTGACCTTTCTACAGTGCTTGGCTCAGGTAGTGCCTGAAATGTTGAAAGTTTTGCYGCATACTGCAGGAATAAATAAGGAATTACCTGTTTGACTGATACTCTTTATTGCTGAGAATCCTGACAAAATGCCCAGCACGTTTCTCTCAGAGCTGTATGAAGCATAATCATGGCTTGCACCCTCGCAGCACAGGGCTTAGGGGCTTGGTTGATACAGGGCTGCTGTTATCAGGAAGACTTCAAAGAAACTGGGGCAGTAGGGAATGAAATATGAATGTTGTCGCAGTGCTCGTCATTGGCAGGGTAACATTGTGAGGTACCTCATCAATGCAACGAGAGTAACTTATCAGTTTTGTCTATTAACTTTTTAAAAGTTTTGAATAAAATTCTTTATTGTCTTTCTTTATTGCCTCATCATTTGGATTGTTGAAGGAGATGCTCTTAAAGAACATGTCTGAGCAGAGATGAGACCATTTAACTTGCTAGGCAAACTCAAGCTCCTGTGGCTGCGAGCAGAGTCATAGAGGTCCTGTATAACTGACCCTTTGCTTCTCTCTTGCTTTGCTAAAAACTTTTCACTATTAAAAGAAAAAAAAGCCTGCATTGTTACACAGAAATCAGGAGCCTTTTYAATGGCACTTACTTACATGGGAGGAGATGGAAACCTTTACAGCGCTCATAAGCGCTTTGCTACCTCTTATAGGGACTGGTCCCCAAGCAGTATAAATAGTAGCATAACAAGGTTTAGTCTCACAGTAACACACAAAAAAAATGCATTTTTGGCAAAAGTTGGTGTGATGTTAGTAAGAGGTGGCTGAAATGGCCATGTACCAAGTCCCAGTGCCAGCCCCTAGATTCATTCCCCTCACCACACAGTCAACAGAGGGCTGTGACACTTTAACTAACTGCTCGTTTATTTTTGAATAGAAAGCAGGGTAACTCCATTTTTTAACATGACATTTGGCTAATTAAAAACAAAAAAAAAATAAAATAAAACCGACCTTTTGCAGCATTAGAAGTGAAATTCTGGCCCATAAAACACAAGTCACATAATCCCAATCTGATGTAACATGTATCCACAGGCTCCTCCCRGAAGAGCTTTTGTTACAGGCATCAGTGAGCAAATTGCTACATGAATTGCTACTTCTTTTTAATAGATGAAATAAAGCTACTGTTAGGGAAAAAAAAAAAAAGTTTTAAAATGCAATACAACTGGACTAAAATGCAAGTTATATGACAGTTATTTAAAAAAACAGTATCTTGACCCAACCAAAGCCAGAATAAAATTACAAAGCAGTAAGCAAGGGTTTGTCAGTGGTAGTGGTGATGATGAGTGTGAGTGCATGGACACCAGAAATACACATTTAAACTTAAAGCAAATACTAATATGAAAATTAACTAATAAGAAAAAATACTAATATGAGTCTCTTGGCTCAGTAATAAAGTGTGTATTAAAACTCTAGTGGCTCCTTAAACTCAAGGTGGCTAGGGGACCATGTACACGCTGCAACATGCTTGGTTTTAAAATGTTATTGGGCAAGTTAGTGCCTGGATGTGACTTTTGAACAATTTATCCAGAATTACTTAAGAAATCTTAACTGACATTAAACTATTTTAAAGAAAACAAAACCTCAGACAAGCCATTTGACGTACAAGTAGGAAGTTAAGACCTACAGAAGCTGTTTGTGACAACAAAGCGCTGCACCAGAAGAAACCACCCCCCCCCCAGCCCCGAAAGCGTAAGGAAGACGGGCACAGCGGGGCGCGGGCTGCTCTGCGCCCTGCAGAGCGCCCTCTCCAAGCCTGATTTTTCCTAGCCCCCCCCACCCCCCCACCCCACTGTGCAAGTTGGCTGGAATATATCTGAATGACAATTATTCAAGTAGAATAACTCTTTCCAAATGTCCAGCTAATTGGAAATAGACTTAATTAGAAAGGGCTAATTAAGCCTTTTTAATTTATTTCTAAAATAGGAATGTTGTCCCACAGTGTAGAGCTCTCTAAGAACTGGTCAAACTCAAAAAGAGACTTTTGAAGTTCCTTCTATTCAGAAAGCCCAGAAGAAAACTGTTTAATATGTCCATAGTAAGTGGATACCACTTTTTAARCTTTTAAAAGAACAAAAATTTAATTAAAAAGGTATGTTACAAAAGGCACTATTAAACTTGCAAAAGCATTAAGTGCAGTTCAGGTTTATACCAAATAAYGAACCTATCCAAGGGCTACAGTTTGTGTACAAAACAGTCACATTACTGTGTGCAACAGCTGTCAAACTTATCAAGCTTTGGCTTCTTCAGCCTACGTAATGGTGAGAGCGACGTGTGGCAACTGGACCACTATTCAAGAGATATTACAACATCTGGCCTACACTTAGTGTCTCTGTAGACACACAGGATAAAAGGTTCACGGTTACAGRTTTACCTCAGGTGTTGTGTGGCACCAGTGACTCCTATCCCACCTGGTTTACCTTTCACAGTCTTGGCAGSTGTTAGTTTTCTAGGCCAATTCATCAATTAATGGTGTCAAGAAGGATTGACTTTAAATTTTTCCATAAGAAGACCTGTTAGCAGTAGCGCACTCTGGTTCTGGAACCCTTCTGTCAGGCAACATCACAACCATTAAGCAAGATTGCTAAAGAAAACTGGACTACATTCTAAATTTCAGCATCATTCAGATGGCCCAAACAAGTCATWCTTCCAGAAGGCTAACGAATAAAATTAATGATTGTGCTAACAAAAGTTGGTTACTACCTCTAGGCTGGAGACATAGTCAAAGCTTCCATTTCAATAAGTCAGTCTTTACTCTTCTCTGAACAGCTGGGATATAAAACTCCACAAATCACTGGGTACCACCTCTTAAGTATATTACAAACTAGACCATCAAGATATGTTGCTGGTAACTTTGCTTAAGTTATTGCTGATGTGCTTTTGTGTAACTACTAAAAATCTACTAGTGATTAAAAGCTGTGGGACAAAACACTAACTTTATTTTAGAGCTTTTTTTTAATCTTTAAACTAACACAAGTAATTTCTTTCGCTCGCTTTTACTAAAACACTCAGTATATTGCTGTTTTTTTTAACATCTTCAAAACAAGCAAAGATTCAAAACTTTCTGTGTACATATATAAATATACACACACTTGTGTGCRTGCGTGTGTGTATTTTACATATATATACATTTGTACTCAGGACTGGAAAGTTGTCATCACCCTCGGCTTGTTTTAGACTTCTCAGTTTGAGCACTCACCCCTGCAAGTGAAGGAACATTTTGCTTCTTGCCATTTCCTTTAATGAGATATTTCTATTTACTGATGACAGGCTTCATCCAGAAGATCCAAGCACAGAAATGCAGCTGAGGGCTAATGGGTTCATCRTGATAATTACATTTGGTGATACAGTAAAGTACCACTAACGTCTAAGTAAAAGCTCAGCTTGCTGCTCTACTGGTAACAAGGGTTAACTAACTCATAGCTACCGAACAACTGCACTCACTGTCACTAACTTCTTGCAAATCACCAGTAATCTGTATCTTGTACATGGCATAAAGACTTAAATTCAATTTTTTAACATATATTTGTCCTCAATTGAGGAAAAATAAATAGCCAGATACAAACATCATGTCACTTTAGTAACATTGTAATTTTTTTTTTTCCTTTTTTTTTTTTCCCCTCCACTCTAACAAAGAAAATATAATTGAAGTCCCAAGAAGACGAATCGTATTTTAGTGGGCAGGAGGCTCTGAAAAGTAACGCAGTTTTAAGAGCGCATGGTTGACACACGCGGGACTGTAGCGTCCAGGACTCCCCAAGTCTGGTGACGAGGCCGCTGCATGACTGTATTTCCCTGGACTGCCCATCACTGGACTATTTCTTCCCGGACTAGAATACGCTGAGGCATTTGGAGGGCCAGCAGCCACAGGTTGGGACTTGACTCTTGCTCTCAGCGCGGGACTTGGCCAACTGAAAAACCATGATAAGGAGAACAACAGATTTACTCAGTATCTCTTGTAGATGTAGAAATAAGCAGCGAGAAGTCCAAAGAGATCAGAGCCACATCTGAGAAGAGCAAGTGACARTTAACACAATATATTACGTGGAAATTTGTTCATGGAGAAAGGATGTCATTTTCTCCAAAATGACCATTAAGAAAAGTGTGCCTGTAAAGCAGAGTTTGGACAATTTTAGCCCTTTACCAAATGGAGAACACATGTGCTCTTGAAGCATTTGTTTTCTGTTTGAATAGCCTGTATTGATATCCTGAATTTATTGGGGATTCCCTGTAATGCATGGAATTTTTGACCACAGCACCTTTCCATATTAGCAGGCAGGCTCTAGCGTAAAGGGTCTGGTGATTCACCATTACAACAGCCTTAGCATTAATACAGACACGATTTATGTGAGCAACAAGACCTAAAATTCTGTCCATTCAAGCCGTTCTGCAGCTGACTTACTGAAACCATCATTAATTCCACTCTTTTGACTGAACTGTAGAAATACCTTTGCCTGTCAGATGAACAGTAGGACTCCACTGAATGTTTCCACTTGTAAATAACAGGGTACTTCTGTGGATCAATCTCTGCTGCTCCTATAGCTGCTAAGACATCACTATCCAGCTTCGACGGCTGCTCCCTAGAATATAAACAGAAATAGATGAGAACTATGTATTTATCTGGGCAATTAGATGTTCCAATTCTAAAATAATGAAGGCTCCTAATGAAGGAAGCCTGACAGACTAACAAAAAAAAAAAAAAGAGCCACGTTAACAGTTTGAGACTGATTTGAAAACAAGAAGTTTGCATGTACAGACCAAGGAGGAAAATATGTGTTAAAAAAGAGCTTTCATACCCAAGGAGAAATAACGGCTTAGAATTGTCATTTGTGGGTGAAGTCTTCAAAARAAATTTCTGGGAAGAAGATTCTTGACATTTTCGTGCCTCATTAGTCTGAATTCCAGATTCTACAGACGATCTCTCCATTTCTGATGGCATTTTGTTTTCTGTCCTTATCTTGGTCTCTCCAGGTCTGCCCGTAACACTTGGCTCTGTTCCTTCAGCCAGGACTCCCACATTCTCATGTTTTTCAGTGATTTTACTTGATTCGCCTGCTACCTCTTGCTCTCGGAACGACAGTCTTTCAAATTTTGGCATTAAATTGCAGACATGGGACACAAGGCATTCTTCTCCATCACGAAAATGCTTTCTGTCACTAATTATCCTTTCACTGGCCATGGGATTACAAAACCCATTTCTGCTGGAAGAARCTCCCTTTTCATAGTGCCTGGGATGATCTGCTCTTTCTATGATGTTGACTGTGGGCTCCATTGCCAAGATGTCACACTCGGAGTCCCCAAGAGCATCTATGCTAGGTTCTTTGGATGCAACAGGTTGGCTGTTATTACGTGCCGCATTCTGTCTGTTTTTAATTTCTTCTAAGCTCATGTCATCATCGTCCTCATCCAAAAATGCTCCGACAGAAATAGAATTGCAGCACTTCTTACTCTTGCCTGTGAAGAATTTTAAGAGCAACATATGAAAAGTTGTCCTACTTCTACAGCCACTGTTATTAGCTAATTTCTCAATATTTATATTCTATCTGTTTGGATAACAGATTAATAATAGCAACCACAACAGGTGAGCACTATTTCCCTTGGGGACCAAATCTTTTTCCCCTCCCTCTTCTCCCCAGGTACAACCTGTTGTTTGTAACATTTGCCTTTTTCTTACCAGAAGGATGGGGAGTTTTGTATCTATTGCAGGTTTCATTTTCCCCTGTTTCTTGCTGAGCCTTTTCGCTCATTTCCTGATGACTCAGGTACTCTTCTAATTTTCGCAACCCCTCCTGGGAAGACAGATCAACAAAACAGCCCAGAAATTCCCAGTATTCAACCCACGGGAACCCCAGTTCATGAGCTAACTCCCTGCAATAAATAAAATAAAACGAATCATTTGTGAAGACATAAATATTAGTTTGACAATAACTTTTCTGAACACATTTTATCAGCTATTAATAGGACTATAAACGTGCAACTAGGCAACACAAATTCTCTAACAATCAGCAGTCTGCAAAAGCGATGTGCACATCCTTAGCAAACACAGTGTCAGCTACTTTTCCTACAATCTTTTCCAGATTTTATCTACTATTCTTACAGTTAACACCCATGAGCACTGCCATACATTAACTGCATTCAGACATCTGGTAGAGCTGAATCAATACTGACACAACTATCGTATGAATGATACTTCATTTAATTATTTTATGTGGAAATGAGAGAAGAGGGAGAGGAGGTGAGAGATTATTCCAAGGGAAGAAACCTAATAATTTTGTAACAAACATTTTCCTATACTTTGCTGGTACAAAGTATTTTAGCAGCAAAAACACACAGTAACACAGACACAAACACACACGCACAGTTTTAAAAAGCAGAACACTTGTATTAGGATCTTTTGATTCTGCTGTCTTTTTAAAGTCTCTCGTTTTACAGGAAAATTGGCTAAGCATAATTGTAGCTCTTCTGCCAAATCAAGCAAGTGAGTGTTTGAGAAAAGCTTTCTAGATAAAGAATCAATAATCATTAAAATATCTTTTATTTCCAAAGCTGTTAGCCAAGTCTCAGCTTTTTTAGCTAAAGTGCTTATGTTCTCATAAATATAGTAAAGAGCCAACACTACAGTTACTTCATAAAGTATTTATAGCAGCAAGTTTTGTCCTACTTAAAGATTGTTCACTAAGCAATAATTGTATGAACAGTACAAGTGTTCTGCTTTTTTATTGTCTTAGTGCTAATTTTTTAAACTGGTACTTTTTTAGATACCTTCCAACTCTTTCAACACCTCTTTCCAGATCAGATTTCCTGACATTGTGAAAGAAGCCGGCTCTCTCTCGAGGCGGAGTCTTCCAAAGCCTGCGGAATTCTTCAGCCTTTAAAAAATGAAAGAATTAAATAAAAAGAAAAAAACCCACCACCCCTTCCCCCATTACAATCTGAAATTAAATTGGCACCATCTCAATTCTCTGCCTATAGGTCTAGAAGATATTTAGCTGCTCTCTGCCTCTATGTAAACAACTCAAGCTCTCCCACAGGTATTGCTCAACTCTCATTTTGAAGAGGCTCATGTTGGATGTGAAGCTTCCCCTCCCAGTACACTTGCTGGTTTATTACTGCACTTGGATGTCACAACTGCACATCAGAATTACTACCAAAATGTATAATCACCTTCAAGTAATCTCATTAGATAGCAAGTCAGACTGGTTTTAATTTATGTGCAGCAGAAAACAGGTATGCCTTACAACCTTACACTTTAATGACAAATGCTCTCCTGCTAACTGCTTTCTCAGATGAAAGTGTGGTAATTTTATATCAATTCCATAAATTTGGTCCACTTATTACCATATATTCTTGGCATTTATTCTGATTTTCAATGCTTAAAGGATGGATTCTTGTAAACTCACCAACTTTATGCCTTTGCATGACAAAAATCAATGATAGAAGAGCTACATTCAGATCTTAAAACGTTGTCAGCAACCAAAGCAATGTATTATTTATAGYCTAGATAAAAGTTGTTCAGAGTATACAATACACTTACAGCTCTGTCAAGTRAACAGAAAATTGACCAAAAAGCCTATTTAGAAGAAAAAAAATATTAAGCATTTTGATAAAATTCAGCGCTGAAGGAATTCAAACATCATATGATAGAATGTGTTGTCATCTTAATATTTCCAAAATTGCCATATTTCAAGGAAGTTCTGATTAAATGAGACAAATGCCTACAAATTTATATTTAATTGATCTCTAAATATATTTCCTAAAAATTTCCTTTTTTTTTCCCTACTATTCAATCACTACTCTTCCAAAACTATCCAATGCCTATTAGAAATGCCTTACTCATCTCCATTAAATTTCRGAACATTTACTTGTATTTCAACAACAGGAGGTAATAAATTGCTTCAAACATCTCATTTCAAATTCTAGAAACTGGATCTTATTTTTTTTTTAAACCTACATCTGTTAGTTTTGATTCAGATAAGAAAGTAAGAACAATTATTCATAAAGACAATACCAGACTTGTCAAACAATGCTGTGACCAAAATGATTTTCCAATAGAAAGGAGGAGCTTTATTTTCCACAAAAAGTGGAGGAGCTTCCACTTTTCCTTATCTATCTCACTTATTTTTATGTTTCTGGCAATAAAAGGGTTTCAAAATTGCCTGTGTTCTCCCACTTTATAGAAGAAAATCTCTCCAGGTCACGAAGAGAAGAGACAATACTGAAAAATGTAGCTGCTATCTATTACAATAACGAGTTCCACAAGACACTGAACCACAGGTGGATGTTCTATTTTTTTTTATATTAAAAAAAGGACAAAAAAAGAAAAAAAAAAGCATTAGAGTCCTAGGAACTTTACAGTATACTCTTACCTTTGAGGGGCTCATAGGGCCTGCAAAAGCTCTTATTGACAGCACTGGATCTTTGGGGCTGCCATGGTACATAGGTAAAGATGTTTGGGGGCTATTGTCTGTCTGATCGGGCGACCACGGGGCACCGATTACAGGAGCTGAGGAATTGTCATCTGCTCTCAAGAGCGGTACGTAGTATCGACCTAAGATTAAATAGAAAAAAAGCTTTCTTAAAAAGATTTTGTTTCACCAGTCAGTTGCCTCTTCCTTGGATGTGTGCATCCATAGATTTGTATACTTAAACATCCACTTTATTTCATTACTAAAACTACTTGTAATTCAAACTCATTGTTTCAATATATTTTAACAGCTTACAGATGTATGTGTTAACAGCTTACAAATCATACCTTTGCTCCAGTTTCCTTTCTCTCAAATACAAAAGTACATTGATTAGCATATATATCTCTTCCCCTAAGGATCATCAACAAATTAAAAAAAAAAACAAAAAAAAAACCCCACACCTTTCATAAATGTTTAAACCCACATGTGACAAATAGTAAAAACCTCTAGGTGAAACAAGCTAGAAATTCCTTACTGTGACAAATAAATCTCTCGTTCTGTAAAAGTCTTTTATTTRCCTTTAAATTAATCTTGCATCTTCACATTCACTGAGTGAAATGAGAGCTATGCCCACCTTCCAAAGCTGATGGGATAAACTTCTGATATCTCTAGATAAGTATCAACCATAAAACTTAAGACACAAAAGGCTTTCTCATCCTTTTCAGTTTTAGTGTTTCTCTTTGGTTCTTAGCACATTGTAAAGCAATATCATTTATAAAAAGGAATGCTACAGAAAGCAAATCCAACAGAGAAAAGAGCCRAATTATGTGCTTGAGAAAGTATAGAGCTCTTAAGTACAGACCTTGCAAATATTCTCTTATCTTTTCTTTCAATTCTGCAGATTTATTCTTGCTTCTTTCACAAACCACCTATTAAAGCAATTTTAATTGTTAGTTAGTTAAGCAAAGACATCAATCTCAAATAAATTATGTTCATTTGTAAATAGTCAAATTATTGGCCTCTAGCCAACTAATCTTGTATTTTAATTCATAGTAAAGCACACTGCTAAAATACATCCACATCCATAAAACAGATGCTGTAAGAAACGGCAGCRAACCAGAACATTTAAACTGTCTCACAGTTTAATCAATACTAAWTATTTTGAGTGCTAACAGGGATTCACTCTAATAATGACACTACTATTTTACTACAAAGCCTTCTATTTAGAGCAGTCATTGATTGTTTGAACCCAAAATAACCGCTTAGATGTGGTATTTTTGTTCTCAGCCTGGACACGGGGAGACTTACCTCTGTCGGAGTTTGATCATACTTATTTCTTGGATTTTTTACAATAGCTGGATGGGAGGTAAGCACATTAACAACATCCAAATTCCCAAACTTGCAGGCAAAATGCAATGGCGTATCAAAGCCCTGCAATGGGGARAGGGAAAATTCACATGTATATGGAAAAATGACAAAGTCAGCCCCACATGTTTTATTCTGAGACTGCGGAAAAAATAAACAAACATTACGACTAATTAAAAGTACTCTTGATGAGTCTTTCTCTACTGTAGAATAATGATTACTCATAAAACACAACCCCCTTACTCTCTATTTCCCTTATACTTCCTTGACACCCTCCAGTTGCTGCCACAATAAAAAGAAATTGGGAAACATTCAAATCTTACTATTTTATCCGGTGTATTAAGGTAAAGGTCAACAATATATCGGATGCGCTTCTTCAACATCGTATCATTGTCGTCTGGATACATGAGCCGCATAAAGTCGGGATTTTCCAGAGTGTCTAGTAATAACTGGCAGATAGCCGGTTGATTCTCCTTGGCAGCAACATGCATGACGTTGTACCTACACCCCTCCTGGAAAAAAAAGACAAATTTTGGAATGAAATGAAATCTGAACAGCTTGCTTATGCCCATATGCTTAACTGATATAAGTGTGAAGCTGTAATGGTTCCCAGACTGAGTTATATATTTAGATTTTTGTTTCTTAATATTTTCTTACAAACAGACTCTTAGAGGAAACGTTATCATAGTACACACATGTCCTATCAAAGAGTAAGTGAAAATAAAGTATTAAGCATTGCAACGCTGTTTGGGTTTTTATTTGCCCGTTTTTTTTCACAGTTTTCAGGACTACGTGAGGGGAGCTGCAGTCTCTGTCACAATACAATAAATAAAAATACAAAATCAAATTTATTTGAGTAGGAGAGAAAACAGCTGAGAAAAATACTGCATATTCTGAACACATTATTTTCCAACTCCACAGAATAAAGAAAAAAGGCTCAATTTAAGATTTTAACAAACCTCAAATTACACTAGATGTATATTCAAGTAGTTAATTCCCCCCTCACTGAACAGACAAAAGTAGACTGAGAGCAAGAGGCATGGCCTCTACTGCACACAGCAATTGCTCTATCCTGAGTTTCCTGGAAGATGATTTTGTGGCAGGAGGGGGAAAGGATTACTCTTCCTCTCTTAAAAATGTCTCAGATAGTTTTTCTTACCTGAACAACTGTTGGATTGTCTCCAGATCCAATCAGATAGCGAGGGTTACTCCAGATAAGTTCTGAAAATGTCGCTATATCTCCTTTCTCAACAGCTTTCCGCAGCTTAGCGGTAAGATCTTGAGTACGTGGACTCTTGTAACTGTTGGCCCTTTCCTTATTAGCAGTTTCAGTCTCAGGGGAGCACAAGCCATCTATGAAAACACAGTTATCATGTTCCCTAAAGTATTTTTTTACAGTGATCACTGCATTAATATACAGACCATCAAAATAAGCTTGCATTCTAAAATATTTTAGCAGCTTATCACTTAGTACCAGTATAAATAACATATAATAAATATCACTTGTAAGTAATAGGAGGGAGAATATCATTAGTGCTGTCACCTCRGGTTTCAATATGGACTGATAAACATTTTAATTACTGAGCTGGTTACAYACAAAACTATCATATACAGATGAATGACCTCACTCACCTCTGTTAAATGACCCTATCTTCACTGGAGATAAACATAAAGAGGACTTGCTCGGAGACGGAAAGTAATCGCAAATTCCTTTAGCAAATTTCTCAGCATCTTCTCTGTTTGAAAAAGCTTTGAATCGGGAGCCTTTAATCATCTTAACAGCTTGGAGAGCTTCCTTTTTATCTTCATAAACATGTACTCTCTCTGTAAGAAAGTACAGGCAAAATTAAATTATTTCAGTAGCRTCAGACTTGTTCACAGAAACTGGTTACAGAATTCTCAAACTATCCTTCCAGCTTTGGTCTCAGTGTTTGCCTACCAAATGTGGCATAAGCATCTGCAGCCCTTTAAAATTTTATTTTTAGAAAACTGAATAATTCTATAAATTTTATCCAATATCAGGTCAGATGGAAGAGAGATTGATATCAGTGCTTTGCCATACATATCAATCAATATTTGAACAACTGTTTAAAACAGATCAACCAAGTGATTATTTCATACCTAGACTGAAAAAGAAATCTAGAGCTTATTCAGACTGGATTACTTTCTGTGTTCTTCTGTAGAGAAAGATAAACTATACAGATAATCCACTGTCCTTAAGACTTTTCTACATAAAAATACTTCTTGTGAAAAAGAATCCTTGCAGCTGCCTCAGAATACACAATGGCTCATGTGCTACTGTAATCCCATGAGAGATTTAGCGATTCTGTATTCCAGTGATTATCAATAAAATGCAAAGAGTAATCCAGAAATTAATTATACTGTATAGGCAACTTATATAAAATTGAAAGGACAGGCGTTAACAGGTAATGAAAATTATTTCTTTTACAGCTTTGCCTGGTACTTAGTATCTTAATGCTAACTTACAGAGATATGCTCCTACTTGCGTCCTAACTATTTAATCACGCACATAGAACTATTTCCATTTTTGGCGAGATTGCTACTATTCTATTGCTACTATATCATATGACAACACACGTTGGATGGGAGCACCTCAGATATACGCAGATGTTATTTACCATTTCTTGCCAATATGTCATCGTAGACCGGACAGACACCATAGTACAGAGGAGGATCTTTGGACGGTGGCTGAGTATCAATTTGTGAATCAAAGCGTGCTCCTCCACAAACTGGAGCTGAACCGTTCCTGTGGATCTCRGCATCTTCTTCTGGAGGGTTCAGACCTACAGAGTACCCAAAGTCTGCCTCCTCAGCAGCATTTCCATGACAGGTGGGATTCACTGCTGAGGTTTTCAAAGCCTTTCGCGTTTCTGCCTGGTTGCTATCAGAAGGGATGTTTCCAGCAGCCTCCTCTGAAAGAGCAGATCCTTTCTCCTCCAACGCTCCTTGCTGTTCCAACAAAGTCCGAGCCAATTTTTTTTCAAAAATAGACCTAGTGGTTGAGGTAATGGGTCCACACTTCAGTCCCGCTTTTATTATTTCTTCTCTAAGCTCATCAGCGGTGAGCTGCTTCAAGCGGGATAATACTGAATCCATTGTTATTTCACCTATGAAAGGAGGAGGAAAAAAGTGAGCTAAAATTGTAAAAAAGGAAACTTCTTTCCCTACCATTTAAATGCTGCAATAAAAGTAAGAAAAGGGCATATCATAAGAATTATTCTGATTCTGAAGAGATACAAGCAAATGCAGAGAAGACAAAGTATTTCCTGTTAGCACATAGAACATTTTAAAGCTRTAAGACTTGTAGTGAGAGCACGTTTCCTCTTCTTTCGTAACTACTTGAAAGAGTACTTGCAGTCTACATTTTTCTTTTTAAATTCCATTACGACTTTTGAAGTAAATAGCAATTCAGAACATTTATGTGTGAAAACTTATGACAAGCTGAGAAAACTTATGACAAGCTGAGATAAGATTTGATTCCTGTCAAGAAGGGAGCAGACTGGGGACATGCAAACATGATGTCTAGAAAACCTCAGAAATACGCTCTAGTTAGGCAGTGCCTACAGCTAAAGGCATTGCAATATTTCTAACATTTCAATAACTATTTTTAGCTGAGAAAACGTATAATGCAAGGGTACGATGCAGCTACCAGGGGAGTCTATCTCTGGCTATGATTCAAGGCTGTAGCTATTTGCACAACAGGCTGTTTCCCAGTCCTTGTTTTGTGGGCAAAGAGCCAAAGAGCCAGACAAGAACAGCTGAACTTTTCAGATTCCCCTCTTCAGCAACAAGGGAGTGGGAAGAATATTTATTTCCAAATGAAATCCTCCTCTCTAGTACACTACAAACCCTCTTCTCACTTTCTTCCATGTAATCCACACGCTTACAACCTACATATGGTCAATCAGCAGGCACTGAAAACAAGACATTGCCAACAAATTGCTCRCTGTGAAAACCCCATGAATCTGAAAAACAACTAAACTTAAAACAGAAGATACGGGAAGCTCAATAACATGAGGTGCTTTAAGAATATTTCAGCAGACACTACATAGAGCCATAAGGGCTATGAGTCTTTCCTGCTGTACACTATCGAGAAATCACAACTTTATGACAGAAATGATTACGCCGTCCTACTCCTTCAGCTTGATTTTACTCCCTCCTTAAGTTACAGCTACTCTATTGAATTGGCCCTTCCTTCACCACCTAGCTRTATTTCCATTTTCATACGTTTGGATTGGTGTTTATGGCATTTTTAATACCTATTTGGACAAGTTACTGCTCCATAAAAGAAATAAAGAAGTTAAAATGTCATTTGAAAGATTGTATCTCAGCACTAAGGCAAAGATCGGGAACCCAGTTAGGACTATTTCCTGCTCTTACTTCATGCAAAGGATTCTGTTTTATTTTCCTCCTCTTATAGCATATTAGTTTCTATTGTTTAATCATTAAGTTTTCAAAACACTTTTTCCAGATGTGTTTTCAGATTTCAGCCTGAACGCTCAATGGCWGTTTTTCCACATGAAGTCACTTCCATTTTTTTTAAAATCAGGCTATTTTTCAGAATTGCATCACTACAAAGTCTTACAACTACATTACAAAAAAAGAAAWCTCCCAGGTATGAGTTATGAACATCTTCAATCTTAAAGTAAATCTCAAACTATCAACTGTGCACATGACAGTATGAAAAACATTTATTTTGATTTCTAAGTTCCTCTATTCTATGAACAGCCTTCACAGCCTTAAATATGATATGCTTTGACCTTCATCTAGCAAACTCATGTTARACTTAAGCTGTGAAGGGCTGTACCCTAATACAGCAGAACCACGATATTCTAAACACTGGATCCTACAAGGTTAATCATTCATTTTGTTGAAGCATAGAAGCTCTAAAGTAATTAAAAAATTACACCTTCATCATCAAACTGTGGCTCTAGTATAATTAAACTCCCTTATTTTTCTATGCATATTGTCAATAGTCATTGTTTGTCAACATTGTTGTCAACATTGTTTGTAATGTTTGTCAACATTACAAAATACAACTACAAAATAACGCTTGACAATTTTACCAAGGATTAAGTTGGGAAATGAAGAACTAAACTGTGCACTAAAAAAGGCAGCAATTTTCATAACTTTTTCCAAGTGCCATACAAATTTTCACTGGCATCGAAACATTTCACTGGCATTAGTACAATTCTAATGCTAGAAAAATATTATAGAAAAAGAGTTAATTCTAAGCTTCAAATACTGTAACAATCTGGCGGGTCTTGCCTGTGAGCTTCAAATTTTCCCTAAGGTAACAGAATTCTGATTTGGTTTCGTTTGTTTGTTGTTTCTGTAAATGCTCGATTTGAACACTGTGTGCTTACAGAACATATTTCAGTCCCAGGATATTTCACAAATACAGGATCCGCAATGAAGCTATGGCAAACAGCAGCACTTAAGCTTCAGAAACCTATCTGAGGCAAAGCAACAGCTGATGATCTACATCCCCAAAGCACTGTAGGTCCCTTATGATTTCTTAACGTGCAGGGCAACCTCACTGCTAAGATTATCTGACTTGGTCACAGCCACACAAAGGCAGCAGATGTGCAAGGAGAGAAGTGAAAGATCTGCTCACTTGATTTCAATTCTGAATTCCTTAAAATGTTTTTGATAACATCTGATGCAATTATCTTTTAATCAAGTGATAAAAATGATGCCATGATTAAGGCCTGCCATTCAATTGCTTTTCTTTTTGAGACGCTATAATGTAACCGAAAAAAAAAAAACATAAGAAAGATGAAACAGTAGTCAGAAAGTTTATTAAAGAAACAGTCCGATAAAAATACTTTGGGAAGGTAAACATAAGACCTTGAAGAATTAAATGAGGAAATGCACTGCTTTCCAAGTCTAAAAAAGTAAGGGTATTCATTCTGAATGCTGTTGAAGAGCAGACACATGTATAATTCATGTACATGCAGCCTGCAGGCACATGCACAATCTTTCTTCTTGGCTTGTGATTAAGTCGAAGTATGTAGAGAAGGACTAATTTCTCAAATATTTTGCTTTTCTAGAACTTAGTGCTTAAAAATACAAAGACCAATTTTCTTCCAGATCTTTGTAATGAAAAGAATATGAATTTCTTGTGCTCATTACCATTTCTCTACAACTAAATCCAAGAGTGAAACAACAAAGCTGAATAACAGTGAAGTAATTCTCCAAGATTTATGATCCAGTATTAACACAACAATTTTTGTACAGTAAGCTTGTTACAGAAAAAAAAAACTGTCTACGCAACTGCAAGTATAGCTTATTGCCCTATTCAAAAACTTCAAATAATCCAGAACACAACCTTCCMTAGAGTAGTTACCTTCTTTAATTAAGTGTGCAGGGTTTTGCACATTATCTTCAGTGACTTTACAGATATGGTTAACTACCGAACCTTCAACAACAGCTGCATATTTGAGGTTTTTCCCAAAGGAAACAAAATTTGGAAGAATGCATGTATTTCCCCTTGGTCTGCATCAGTATGAAACAGCAAAAGAGGTTTCAAAAGAACCTAAGACCACTACCATGGCAGAATGAATGACCCACATTTAAGGATAGGAATAGCATTGTAACCCATTGCTCTTTACATCTTTCTATAAACTTAGGAGTTTTAAGATAGAGGAAAAAGGAAAAAAAAGAAAAAAGAAAAAAAAAAAAAAAGACTTTGAAAGGGACAGCACCAGGGTAAGAATTAACTTAAGTGTGAGACCTATCCCCCCTTTGGCTACGTGTCAGTCAGAAGGGAAGTTGCTAGGACAGCACATGGCAGAATAATTGTGGTTATGCCTCGGGAAGCGACGGCAATAGGTTATTTTAGACATTTCTGCCTGGCCTGTTGCCAATTTAACACTATTTAACAATAACACAATTTAACAACAAACACGCTACACTACAGAAATACCCCGAACGGGCCTGGGGGGGGGGGAAAAGCGACATTAGAAATAACAGAAAATGAAAAGCGGACGGGGAAAGGAAGCCCTCGGGGAAGGCGCTCGGCGGGCAGCCTGTGGAGCGGCCGGCGGGGCCGCCTCGCGCGCAGCGAGCGCAGGGCCGCGYTCCAGGGCGGAGGCGCCGGCCCCGACGCGCGCGGGAGGCCCCGTGGCCGCCGAAGCGGGTCGGGTCGGGTCAGGCCGGGCCTCCCGSAGCCCCCCGCGTCTCTCACCTGGGCGGCTCCCGCTGCAGCGGCGGCTCCCGGGCGAGGGCGGCGGCGGCGCCGCGCGGCCGCCCGGCCTCCACGCCAGCAGCCGCAGCAACAAGCCCACGGCGCCGATGACCGCGCAGGCGGCCAGGAGCTCCCAGGCCGGCCAGCGGCCGCCGCCGCCTGCCCACAGGGAGCTCCAGCTCGCGGCGGCCCCGGCCCAGCGCTCCATGCCCGGCCCGGCCCGGCCCGGCGCCCGCCCCGCTCCGCCGCCACTCCCCGCCCGGCCGGCCTGCGGGGACGGTACCTCAGCGGCCTCCCGGCTTCCGTCACCGCCTCCGCCCCGCCCGGCCGCCTGATAGAAATGGCGCCCGGTTGCCCGGCAACCAGCTCCCCCCTCCCGCCCCGGCCCGCCGAGCCACCGCCCGGCTCCAACGGCCGCGGCCCGGGGGCTGTCGGGAGGGCGGCCATCTTGGGGCGGGGCGGCGCCCCAAGAGCGACCATGGGGGGAAAATCTTGATAGAAATAAAAGTAAAATCTCGTTAACGGACTGTAAACACGCGTGTCCTTGTGCCTATAAACGGCCGTGGAGCGGTAGGGTGATGTCCTTTAAGTTACAGAACAAGAAGCCTTTAAGAAAGTGACAATTCCTAACTACTTATGTAATTCCTGTGCTGTTTAATATTACAAAAAAAAAAAAAAGGTGCTATCTTTCCCTTCATCACTGCACGTTAATTAAAGTCATGATGGCATTATTGGACACTTTCTGTTCATTACTGTTGTCTCCTACTGGGTTCATCAAACTCAGGAAAATAATATATATATATAACTTATATAATATATATACATTATATAGTATAGATATAGAAGGATCATTATCCTTTTCTAAAGAAAGCATAAAGCAACACCTAGACTACTCATTCAAAATAACACTTTTACGTGAATATAGAGCATGTTTAGACTCCTAAATATATATTTATATATATATAAAAAACCAARTTAGACCACTTCCTCTTTCAGAATAAAACTAAAAACACATGGAGCCCTTTAACAAAAATAGTTTATTGCACAAAACTTTCAAAGGAATTCCTATGCACATTTTTTTATAATCAACATGCTTTGTATGATCATAATCATTAATTGTACATAGTATAACTCCTCCATCCCCTGGATTATCCACTCAAGAACATGAAATAATAAACTTCCATCTTTACAAATACAACCTGAGCAGACATTAAATGACTTAATGTCTGCAGAAAACATAACAATTTCTTTTACAAGATTCAGTACATCCTTCCCTCCTCTAGCAATCCGTTCATCTGTATCAGAATTAAACTGCTCTGCTCCCTGGGACTGAAGCAAAACACGTTAGTGGGAGACAAGAGTGGTCAGATGACATTAGTAATTACTTTGCACTGTGATTGCCTCCCCATGAAAATATTTAAAGGCTTCTGGTCACAGCAAGTCACATGCAACTATTAACATTTCCCTGGCAAAGTTAATGAAACAGACATACATACATCACAGGCTTGTGCATCACCAGTCATGAATTTGTCATCTTTGAGTTAAATTCGTATTAATYATACTATCTGTCCCCAGTGCGATGAATGTTGCCATAACTAAAGCACCCATGCTGCTGCATTTCACTCTCATGTACAACAATAATCCATTAAAATACAAGCACTAGAGCTTTCTTTCTGAATATTACCTTATTTCTTTTAAGTGCAATACTCTCATAGATTTCAGATGGAATATTGCCCGAATACAGCATGGAATCAGACAGGGCTCAGCTGATCCCTGACACAGCGCACAATTGTTTCCAATAAATTTGGAAGACATGAGAGTAAAACAAGGCAATATTCAGCATTACTCAGGCTCTGTAACCAGTATTTTTACCCACTGTAGGGTTTTTTCCCCTTTTTAAAATGCAGTTGTTCACACATCCTCAACAAAGCAGGAACAATATGGGGAAAAAATTAAAAAAGACAATGTCGCAACCTTTATAAACTTTCATCACTTTAGAAACATTCTCACATTGCAGTAACATTTCCCCTTCATTAACAAGACTTGGTTAAGTAAGGTAGCAACTACTGAAGAAGCAGACATATAAAATACATTCCATTGCAGTGCTTGAAGAAGGAAGAAAATAAAAACCTCTTATGGATTATTCCTCCAAGTTCTAAACACACACCAACATTAATCAGGCACTGATTCTCCTCTGATATATTTGGCAGTGCTGTGACACGCAGAGGGGACACAGTTTTCAATCGTGTAAGTAGTTTTACTGCATAAACATCAAGAGGCCCAAGTTTTATTGAGAGAATGCTCAGCCTCAGGGTGTAACACAGAGCCTTTTCATAAAATTTCTCTTGATAGTTAAAGAACATAGTTGATATTCTTCAAAAGGCCTCGCGCTTTTGTCACATGCTGAGTGCTTCCTAGAAGGCTTTCCACTAACCTCAGTAGCTTAATTGGCTGAATGGTCACCTGATTTAGACCCTCTAGCCTTACTTATCCTCYATTCTTCCACTAAGTGTTTGTGTCTAATAGAACTCATATGATGAATATAAAATGAAATTATGTGGTGTTCAAGTACTTTGAGAGAAACTGGTGGGACAACGCAGCAATTTAATTCAAGAACTTCACAACAACTCCCTCATCTTTCAGAAGAAAATATGCACCTAAGGCTACTCAGCTGTATAAGCCAAGATGTGCATATAAAGAGCTAGTAGAAACAACAACAAAAAAAAGTAGCATTGCACTGAAAACAGGATGTTTATGGATACAAAAAGGAGACACAAATATGCTGTAGAGCTATAAACATTTCTTACAGCTCTGGCATCTTTGATTCCAGATAAAAGCTTTATCTGTACAAATGTTGCCAAACTTGAAAGAAAAAATAATTGATTCTTAACTGTAAGCAAAGCATTTATCAAAATGAACAGCAACATTAACCCTGTGCAAGAGTTATTTTATTTAAAAACATGAACTTGTTTTCTTTTTTGCAATGAACATATTATTTATTATTAAGTAGTTTTTAACTTTGTCCTTTAGCAAAATTGCTTTTTTTTTTTTCTTCTTAGAGCTTAATATTCAGGCAACTTCAGGAACATAACAGCAGCTAGATAATCAGTACCATTTACACTGTAAAATAGACTGCAGGACTGTGCAGATATTAACATGTCTGGGATAGTCAGTAAAGCTTTTTTTTTTTTCTTTTATTTAAAATAAACTGTTCATAAATCCGTATCTTGGGTAACTAAACCCACAGTAACCGATTTCTTCCTTCACCAGCTCCAAAAACCTTAACTTTTAGTACCACTTAAATTTGACCCCATAAAATAAGTTRAAAGTCTAGCAGCTGGGAGGCATGAAGTCATCCAAAACCAGCTTCCTCAAAGAAGCAACTGCCTCTTTAGAAAAAACACATAAATCAGGCATCTGAAAAGTAGACAAGAAAAATTATCTGAATGTTGTCACAGCCAATTATGACAAAAATACTAGATGAAGCGACCTAAATTTTTTTTTTATCCGCTTTTCAGTCTGCTTGTGTTTTAAGCCAATATACAGGGAAAATAATCGAGCTTCTTTCTGTATGTTTTAAAGAAAAAAAAAAACCATGCTGCTACTTGAATTGCCATTGAATCTGCCAAATWATGTCACATGGATTTTGATTCAGGCTCATGCACAGTTGATAAAGCAGTATTTCTGTACTGATTTTTGAATGGGAAGGAGAGCATTGGTTTATCACTGCAGTATGAGCTGCACGAAGCAGCAGGACCCAAGGCAAAAGTACCTAGGATGGGTTACCTTAATAATAATAATCCAGTCAAGGTGTGTCTGCGGAAGGGCTGCCATAGGGCCAACGTTTCCATCCACAGCAGATGCACCTTGCGGTAACAGAGATTATGACAAAAGTGTGGGATTTAAGGAGGCTGTGGAAAATAAAGCTAATAAAAAAAATAATTTCATAGGCATTATAATTTTGTCTTTGAAAGTTAATAATTACATTTCTAAAAGCTCTGGCTTTTGGGTTCCCTAAGCTAGGTTTCCCTAAGCCGTATGTACAGTATTGTCAAAAACAAACCAAAAAAACCCCAAACATTTAAATGTAACATTAAAACAGTGACAGTAACAAAATAAATGTCAGCCTTAACTTACAGAACATAAACATATTTAAACAGATATTCAGAGTCAGAAAATTAAGTTTTTTTCTTATATATATTACACACATACCTTTATCAAGGATGTCTACTTCAAAAGTTGAAATAAAAAAGGTGCAAAAAGTGTTTTTATGTGCAGTGAAGCAAAGCTCCCTACTGGCCTGCAACTGCAAGAGAAAAACTGTGACGCTTCAGAAAACATCTTGGGCACTTCTGCCAAAGATAGTTACTGGTCTCCATTGCTTGCCTTTGCAATCTGTTCTTTTATCATGCGGCCAAAAGTCATCRTCATAACTAGAGATGGCTTCAAATCAAAACTTAAAAAAAAAAATAACAACAACTTTAAAAAAATCTGTGATCTGAAATTCACGAGAGAAGGGGAAGCAGGAAGTGGGCACTGGGGGTGCTTGCATAAATATAGCCAGTTCTTAATTGCTAATGGCTGAACATAAACAGGATTATTTTTGGATACAATCCAAAGCAGTGAAAAACTATGGGGACCAAAAAGCAAAGACACCACCCTCACACCCCCTGAAATTACTTAATTTATCACACTGAGACTGCACAAATGCAGTCTCAGGATCAGGTGCTCTTTTTATTCTCATTTTAAACCCTCTTCTGAATCTTACGATAATCATAAAATGAGTCAAATTTACCAAATGTCGCCTACATGTCAATATTTCAAAATATGGAAAGGTTTCAAACRAACACTTAGAATAGCATGTTCTGCAATTAATGTTTCGCCAGTTTCTCAAAACTGTGCCCTTTGCTTCTAAAGGCAAAAGCAGAACTTTGAACACCATTTTAAAATGGAATAAATAAATAACTTTGATAAAGATTTGTTTACACACTTAAAGCAATAGGAAGACAAACAATTGCTGAGGAGGTTATTGTTTCAAAGCTTCCTTGTCACTAGTGTCACAATTCTGCTTCTTTTCATCTACAGCAGGAATCTCCTGCTGGTCTGATGCAGCTGCAGGACTGGTAGAGGTAACATCCATGAGCTGCCCCTCAATCTGAGTCCATGAAGACATTGATTCGTGTACTGTAATGGTGTGTTCCTCCATCTGACGCTGAAGGCTGTCCATTTCTTGCCTTTTGAAAGCAACAGAAACAAGAAAAAACAATTATCGAGCAGAAAACTAACTGCTAAATAAAAGCTCACTAAAATACCTCAGCCATTTAAGAACAAACAACTAGGATGTACTTAAATGAAAAATAAGAGCCAACAACGCAACATCTCCTTTGCCGCAAGTGCTCGTTGGCAGGCATGATGGAGCACTATTTGTAGTTGCAACCACAACTCCATGAATCTGGTACTCTTGCAGATATAAGACACAACATGAAAGACAGAGGTGAGGAAAGCAGCAGAGAGAAGTTGAAAAAAAGAAAACCCACACACACTACTGCTTCTATCTGACATCAATTTAGTAGAGAGACTAGTCTGACAGTACAAGATTATGTGTCATTATCACAGGCTACCTCTCTATCCCCATAAGCATCCTCCATCAAAGCTCATACATCCAGCCCCATTCTGCCATTAATCTGAAATCCCCATGTTCCTGTAGTTGTAGCTTTCCTGCTTAGAATCTCATGTGCAAGTAAAGAAATGAAAATCTCTGTAGAGAAATGCCTCTTCAGAGATTTCTAACAAATACATTGCCTGGACTCCTATCACAAGCAACCTTGCTGATGCTGCAAGAAGAGATAAATCTTGCTCTACACCAGCAAAAATAACNAAAAAAAAAAAGCTGCTTCTGTTTTGTTCTGCAATGTATTTGAGTGCAAACACTCAACTCTTTAGGAGGGATACTTCGTCTAACATATAGTCAAGGCCTCCCTTTCCCTTTGACATTTCCATATAAACAAACACATGCAAATGCCAGAGCATCTTAATGCCTCATGTATAGCCCTAAKAGGGGAAAAAATAATTCACTTCACAAATCTATTGCTTCTCTTCAGACCAGCAACTGTTTTCTAGAAACATTAAGGTCAATGTGGTTTAAAATAAAAAAGTCATACTTTAATTGCTGGAGACAGCTGTTCAGATTTTTTAAAGGCTCCTTGCTCATAGCTGACGCTGGTTTTAACAGTTCTTCCAGCAAGGCAGCAGGGACAGGACAATCTGGAATTTTGACTGGAGTCACAGGATTTGAAGAGTTATTCTCTCCCTTCAGTTCCTTCCTCTGTTTAAAGAAAAGAAAGAAAGAGAGGAAGAAAAAAACATTAGGCTATTTTCAAGAATACTCACTTTTACCATAAAGTGTCTTGCATCACTCTACTGGTAGACATCTGCATTGTAGAGCAAAATCCAGAAATACATTAATAAGTTTCATGGGTCACAAGCAAAAGTTCCTAAGCTACTGTCATCCACTAGCCTTGTTCATAAGTAAAACTAATACTATCTAGGAGGACTGCACTGTTCCAGTATTGTAAGTAAATTACACTACAATATGTATTCCTTCTACTTAAAATACCTTCTTCATCTTGCCATGCTTCAGGTCCAACTTCAGTTGTTGGTTCTGCTGCAGTAAGGACTTCATACTGTTCTTCAGTTCACTCACTTTAGCCTGGAGGATAAACTTGTCCTTCTGAGTTACTGACAGGTCTTCTCTCACCATTTCCAATTCAGTCTTGATATTCTATAAGGCAAAAGAAGAGAATTAATGTGGTACAARGAAAAGGGGAAAAAATAAAAATAAATCTTTAAGCTAGATCAAATACCTGCAGGACAATTTGTATCCCTTCCAGCTCCTTATGACTRCGCTGTTCACTCATATCCAACTGCTGCTTAAGTGTTTCAATTTCTCTTTCTTTTTGTTCTACTTCCCACTTGAGATCTTCCACCTATGAATAATAAATAACAAAATAAAAAGTTTACAATTCTCTGTAAGAATAATCATTCACAAAATGTAAAGTATTTTATCATTCATGTCTTATGAATCTTTCCTGCTTCTAAGAAAACCTMGTAAAACAAGCTGAATGAAGAATAAATTAAACTATATATTTCAGACAGCTAAGTAAGGAGAAACACAGTGTTTAATTCTACCTCTTGATTTACTCCTGGCTGTTCACTAAGCTTCTCATCCAGGCTCTTCTGCAGAAGTTGGAGTTGAGACCTGGCTTCTGCCAACTCTTGCTGAAACTGTGATACTTCCTGGGAATGTTTCTCATCCTCTACCCTACACAGCAGAATTAACAGAAACAGACACAGCAGTTATTTCGATCTRCCCTTAGAAGGAGTATTCATTGTGCTAGCTATGTAATGATAAAGTGATACAGATTATCCTTTTGTGGCACAAAATTATGTCTATTACATGCTAGTGCACACAACCTGATCAGTTACAGCTTTGACTGGCAGCTTCGCTAATATTTTCACAGCAGGAGTTACATTATGAAAAGATTTTAAATTAGACAGACATTTTCACACAATCCAGCCAATGTTTTAGGAACTTAGACATTTATTACAGAACACTTACTGCAGTTTGTCCACTTCAGCCTGAAGGGCTTGGACAAGCAGTTCTTTGGCATGTAGCTCTTTCTTTATTTCATTGAGCTCCAGAGCAGCAGCTCTGTAATGACGACGGTTATGYGCTGCATCCGCTTTAGCTGCTGCAACCTACACAGGAATAAAGAGAAGTRTCTTTTCTTTATTTACGAGCTACATAAGCTTCTAAGTGCAACTCATAAGGAGAGCTGGACTACAAAGATAGAAAACAAAATGAATGACAGTTAATGAATACGTAAAATGCAGGACGTAACACAGGAGACACAATGGCTTTTTCATACACTGGATATTGAGATAGAAACCCCACAGAAAGCACAGAAAGCATAGAAAGTTTTATAGATCTTGTTCAAAGCTCCTTTTCAAATACTTTACATTTAACTCATTTATTAAATAAAACCAAAGATGACTGTGTTCCTTAAAGTGTTTACCTGTTCCTTAAGGTCTTTAACCTTGGACTTTTCTTTCTCCAGTGAATCCTGCAAAGCTTGAATAAGCTGTTTCATTTGTTGATCTTCTTCCTCTTTCCGCTTCAGAACTGCCTGAACCTGCACCATTTCACAAAATCAAAGATTCAGTAATAAAAAGATATTTTGCGTAAACTCACTGGAAGACCAGAAATGCGAATATTTAAATTGGGAAATATTTGAATAATAGCCAATACAGGGTAGGCAAAACCTCCCTCCCCTGTTCATTGATAATTCTTCCATTCAAACTTAAAATTAGCTATGGCTAAATTGTTGTGTGCCAGAGACTGCTCACTGTCCAAACTCTTTCCTTTACCCCAGGAGTATGTTAYCATTAGCATAAAAAAATAACATTAATCTCAGTGAATCACTACACGACGTTATTTCTACATTCCAACCATCTTAAATACAGAGAACTTTCACTATTGCAAGTATATTTCTTATTGTGACTTTTCTCCAAGAAAAACAATTCTAGGGAAAAAAAAGTTTAGGGTAATAAAATACAGCAACATAGTCTTTAACAATAATTTGCATGTAAATGTACAAATGAATGCCTCTACACCTGGTTATCAGAAATATTAGCTAAATTSCTCTAAATATATTACACCTGGAATTTGAATACCTGGAGGTTCAGCTGTACCAAGTCTGCTTCTCTTTTTGCTAAGGCTGTTTCAAGGATATTGTTGTGCTCCCGCAAAGCGGCGTTGGACTGGCTAAGACCTGTAAGCTTTCCTCGTTCATGTTCCAGTTCAAGGGACAGCTTCTTATTAATTTCTTCTAAACGTTTTATCTTCCTCCTAAAACCTCTAGATTCCTGAAGCTATATCAAAAAAAAAAAAAAGGGGGGGAGGGGGGGGAGAGAAGTCACATTAATATTGGGAGGAAGTTGTGATCTAAACTCATTTAACTTTACTGTTTAGTGTTTTTATTATTGATTTTTTAAAGGACGCTTCAGAAATGTGTTCAGTTAACATTCTTTTCTCCTTTACGAAGACGAAAAGGCTTGCTAAAAGCAGAACCAATATATACTTTTTCATATACAGAAGATATGTGATGAACTAGTATGATTTTTTTTTTTTTTTTGCAGACCTTACAGGCAATGCCCTCCACAAAAATCACCAGGCAACTGTGACTCCCACTAGTTTCAGAGGATAGCGATTCATGCATAACCACCCTCTCATGATGTAAAGTTAGATCTAACATAGAAACTACTTTTCTCTCATCTCTTTTTGCCCAGTACTAYAATTATTCATAAAAACATGTAGGTTAACCCTGTGCAGCAGAATTAGAAAGCGTCACAGAAACAATGTTACCTATGTAAGATTCTAATACCTACATTGTTAGTACAAAATTACGGTACTAGAATTTATCCTCGCCTTTCAGGTGCCTTTTATGGCCATCTCCCCAGGTACAATGTAAATTGAAGCAATCACCTCATCCTCAAGTTCCAGCACTTTCTCTCGGTACTCCTCCAGCTCCTGGCTGGTTAGTGAAATCACTTCTTGCAGCTCTTTTTCCAGCATCAACTTACTGCTGCTAACAGCTTGTAGTTCTGTCTCCAGAGCTTGAATCTTTTCCTAAAGACAAAGAGATCACAGGCCTGGTTAACACCACACTCATTTTCAGAGGCAACTTTGTTTTGTCAAAAAAATATTTCTTTTTCTAGCAAWTATCAAACTACCTGTTAGTGCCCAATGCACAGGGCTTGCTCAGAACTTTCTGCCTGCATCTAATTATTGCTTCTAACACGTTTCATATTTCCACAGAAACCTATAGAATTATTTCTGCCCTCCCTTCCATCCTCCCCTCCCCCAATTAATTCTCTCATTAAACTGTACCACAGCATATCATATAATAAAGTTATGGCTACTCCAAAGAACTTTTAACTGTCAACGAGCAARAACAATAAGAGAAAATTCCAGCAAAACTCCAAGCAGTTTTTTTTTTCCCCTTTAAATAAAATACATGAATACTCAATCAGGAAACCTAACACCTAAGCTGATGTTCCTCCTGAACTTGGTTTGCAATTGGTAACTTGAATGTACCAGTAAAATAAAACACATCAAATTACCACTCTCGAACATAATTTGGAATACATAACATATAATCATAACCAGGGAAATTCTCATTGACCAGCACACTGACACCATGTTCTTATCCAGCTCTACATTCCAGCTAGTAACTTTCCATTACTTCAGTGCAATGTGATATTTTAAGATGGGTACTCTGTAACAAGATAATCCTATCTTTGCACTAATAATGTTAAAAGACCTCTGCATACTTGGGCAATCTGGTTGTTTCCACCATCAGTGATTTGTGCTTTTAGCTTGCTCAGCTCTGCTTCAGCAGATTCTTTGGCACTAAGGGTTTCTTGCAGCCGACGACTAAGGATGCCGACCGCGTTCTCGTAAGCTTTGTGTTTTGCCTTCATCTCTTTCTGAGCACTTGTTAGATCTGACCCCAGACGCTTCATTTTCTGCTTCTGTTCAGTAATGGCCCTGGAGTGACAGGAAAAACGAAACATGTAAAACCAAAATTGCTTGAAAATAACATTGAAGGATTGATTTTTAATATAGCTAAATGGAGGGGAAAATAAATAATAATAATAATAATAATAATAATATTCTTACAGTCCACTTAGCTACTCCATATTTCATCAGTGGAGCTGAAAGGATACTATGTGAGATGGCATCAAGGGCCTTACTGAAGTCAAAGTCAAAACATCAACTTTTGTTCCCTTGTTCCACAGTCGCTTAGCTCAGAAGATACCATCAGTTTGGTACTATATGACTTGCCCTATGCCATGCAACAGCTCGAAGACTCTATATTATATTCTATGCAAATGATATGGTAATTAAGTTGTGAGAATTATTAAAACTCAATATCAAGGAAAATATACAAGATTATTCTAAAAATAAGATGAAATTTAGAGTCTGAATTTAAAATCAGTGGATATGTCATATCACAAAACCTTCAATCTGATTATAATAAGAGCAAATGTTTGTGGTAATACCAACATTTTACTCAGTCATCACTGAAAAACAGAGAATGGAAACCAGAATTAGCTCAGCAAATGTGTTAATGAGAAGTTAACATAATATAGATGCTGAATAGCTTACAATTGCTTACACTGTTGGTTAAATAAGCTGGAACTCCCAAGCAGCAATAACATGGCATTCAGACTGTTATTCAAATTTTCCAAACAAATGACKAGGTGATAGACAGAGACTGACTGCTGAGAATTTGAATATGAAAAATAAATGCTAGAGTTACTTTGTCTATGCTAAAAGAACAGACTTACTTCTTGGCTTCTTCTTGCATTTGTTCTACTTGTAGTTTCAACGCTTGATTTGCCTCAGTAAGAGATGCCATTTGTTCCTTATCAAACTGCAACGACTTGATGGTGAGGAGACAAAAAAAGAGTAAGAAAGGAAGTCTTCGTCTGCTTGCTTTATGTTAGATGTTAAAATAATAATTACTGTATCTAGCTACTGAGCCATGGCAAGTTCTAGATCAACTTCAGCATGAATTGTCAGAATGACTTTTATCTCTGCGTAAAACTATGGGAAGAAAACATCTATTTTGGGGTTCTCCATAACCTTTCTCATCCCTTTTTTATTCTTAAATTCTTTCCTGTGGGGCCATCATCATGACATGAGCTTTATTTTGATCCCTTTATTTTGATTTTACTTTGAGTGTTCACTTTGGGATTAAGAAAGCTGCTTCCTCACCACAAGTCTGCTGTTCATAGAGAATCAGAAAATCATTATGGTTGGAAAAGACCTTCAAGATCATCAAGCCCAACTGTAAACCCTTCATCACTATGCTCCCCTGCTGTCTGACATGAGATGTTAGCAATGGTCAAATAATTATAAAACACCAGTAGATACATGATCTAACACATATACAATATTAAGCAATAACCTTAAACTGCATGACTGCTTGCAAGTTATTTCCAAAATTAATACACATAGCACCATATCCTGCATGTTGTACTCTAAACGTCCAAAGCTTAACGTCCAGACCTGCAGGCGTTTCTCCATATCGTCACGTTCTTTCTGCACAGACTGAAGATGATCCTCAATTTCCATCATCTGCTGTCGAACCTGAGACACTTCCTTCTGTAGTTTTGAATGTTCAGATTCAAGCGATTGTTTTTCAACTTGAAGCTTGAGTAGTTCTCGTTTCAGCTCTTTCATTTCGGAGTCCAGTCGCTTCTTTGTAGCCTTCAGTTCGCTAATTAACTGATCCTTAGAACTTGCATCTCTTCTATAAGCTTCAACCATTACCTAAGACACAAGCGTTTCAGGAAAATTATGTTATCTCTGTTAGAGCTTTATAAACCCAGGAATTTATTGAAGCCTTTATTAATAATACTCTGGGGACGGGTCAAAGAATACAGCAAAATCATAATTCTTTTCACTCTTATTCAAAGACTTTTTTGCAAACTGTGATCAAATAATAACTACTAGTGATGATAAAAAAAATGGAGTTAAGAGTACTTATAGTTCTATTGTGTACTCTTTCTTTACGAGACCGTACTAATTGTGTGCAATTTTATAACTTACTCATACAATTAATACTTTGCAATAAAGAATTTATTTTGAATATAATTCCTCAAGCAAGTACTGTTTTATGAGGCAAGAAAACAATGACATTTCAAGATTCTCTGAAATAACTTGTTTTTGCTTACCTTCTGCTGCAGGAACTGCTCCTTTACTTTTTGAACCTGTTTCTTAAGRCTGGAATTTTCTTGTTGTAGATTTTCTACCTGACAGAGCAAACAAAAAACAAACAAACAAAAGAATATATTACCTCACTTGTACTCTAAATTATTTCAAGCAGTGACAGGGGACCCTGTTTCTGAATAGGCATCAGAGTAGCAAAGCAAGATAACACATTTTATACCTTAATTANAAAAAAAGCCAATCAAGTTATAACAAGACTTGCATCATGAGTTTGAAATAGTGAAAAATTATACCTCAGGAATACAATGTCCCCTTATCCTTAAAGGTTTAAGTATACATATACTGTACCCAAATGACAACACTTCACACATACATGGCCAAATGAAGAAAGCAGCTGATTCTTTGAAGGAAAAAGAAGGGGGGGGGGAAAAAAAAAAAAAAAAAAAAAGCCTAAGGATTAAGCTTGTGCTTGTAAACTAGTTCAGTGACTTGGGCCAGGGAGAAGGAACCACACTCACATGGTATAGAACAACATTCAGAAGCACAACCTAGTATATCATTTCAAAACAAAAGACACACCTAAACATGACCAGGTTCCTGCAAGTCAAAGAGCTTTGGCTCAGTGTCGCAGAAATGGGGAAAGGGAAAGTTACTTCCGAAAGTTGTGTGATTTAACTCAGAACGATTACTTTTTAAAGCTCATGTATTTTAGAAAGATGTTCATTTTGGGAAACAAAAAGAAGAAGATCATTTAAACTCATCTTTCCATCTCATACCACTTGGTTTCTAGATGCATTTATTCATTCGCGTGGAATTAAAGTAAATATCCCAGTGCTGCAACAATGTAAAGGGTCAAATAGTCCACCATCAGGGAAACATTACAGATATAAAATGTTCCCACTAACTAAATCATGCATTCAAAATTGTGTACACATATCTCCTAATGTACTTTGCTCTGTCGTGTGCCTTTTGCAATACTCAAACGCAACATCTATTTTTAATAGGATMCTTTCAGAGATTCATTACCTGGCTTGACTTTATTGCTATTTCTTGCCTCAGTTGCTCTAAGATTTCTGATGCTACTTCTGTATTTTCTCCAAGGCATTTTGCTTCTTCATCAAGTTGCTCTTTGTTTGCTTTTGCCGTCTGCAGAGCTACTTCCAGGACAATTTTCTCATTCTGCAAATACTGGATCATGTCATCTTTAGATGWAGCATCGCTTTGGAGCTCTTCTAACTTGGCCTTCAGTTCATCGTACTGTGTCTGCAAGTCATCCAGCGACTGCTCTTTGGTGTGCAACGTCTCTTGGGCAAGGGTGAATTGCTTCATTAGATCTAGATGTTCTTGCTGTAAAGATTCAAGCTGCAGATCTCGCTGATGCAAGGTCAATTTGACCTGAGAAAAAGTATTTTAAGATTAAATTCATATAAAATGAATTCTGTATTTGCTAATGCACTTCAACAAAAAGAAAATGGAAAATAGCAACTGCCACTGAGGTTCTAGGAGAAAATAACAGATGATTAAAACATTTTTAACATTCCTTTTCTCTGTTAATGGCATTGTTTGCCTTGTATAGCRTCTGCATTGTTACAGGCTAAGCAATAATCAAAATAAGAAACCTAAAATAAAACTGTGAATTTTGCTTAATAAGTTTTGATTTCTAAGTTTGGATTTTTGAACCAAAGTAAATACCGAAGGCAAGTCCAGTGTTACTAATGATAAAGTCAKGTAATTACGTGAAATATAATATTGAGATACCACAAATTAATTTTATTCCAGCCTTTGACATATCAGATTTGTATTACTGCATCAAGGCTCTGTAGTAAAGTGTATGTTTACTACTCTGCAAGAATAATGACATACTATCTAACAGAAGACTTCTTCAATGGATGTTTTTCTTGTCTATATATTATTACATATTGAATTCACTAGCAATCTAACATCTACAAGRGAATAGTTCTGAAATATCAAAAAAGTACCTTTACTAAGACAGCAAAAGGGAGGATGTCATATGATATTTAAGGCTGATGGTCAGAAAGGGTGTCTTTTCACCTGGGATTGCATAACTTGGAAATGCACTTCATTTCTGCAGCAATCTTTCAGAAGGCTTAAAAACAGTTGAGAACTCAGTACCTGTTTACTACAGTCTTTTCAACCACATTAATATTTTAAAACCCTTAGGATGTTGCCCAGTCTACCTGATCCAATTCTTGCTCCAGTGTTGCTGCAGAATCAGCCATTTTCTGAAGCTGTTCTTTCTCATCCTCAAACTCTTCTAATTTTCTCTGCAGATCTTCTTCCACCATGGTTTTGGCTTCCTGGATCTGCATGAATGCAGCTTCCTGATCTAACATGTCAGCCTGCACACACACAAAAAAAAAACAAAGAAAAGAAAAAGTGATGTTTGCCTTTTGCGTCTGTACTGAAGCCATCCACTCATGTATTTTATAAGAAACCTTAGAATAATAGAGAATGTGGTGCATATTTATGTGCGTAGATACAGATACGTGTGTGTGTGTATTCATTAAATAGTATCACGTCCTTCCTAACTTGATAAAAGATGCAAATAAAAATAATCTGTAAGTACTAAAATCCAACTGTGTGGGGATAACCTACAGCCTCAATRTTCTGGAGATCATTTACTACCTTACCTCAATGTTTTGCAGTTGTGCTGCAATACGTTCTTTTTCTTTGATAGATCTGTGCTGAGTCTCAGTCAATTGCTGGGACAATGTCACATTCTCCAGCTTGAGGTGTTCCAACATCCCTGCTTGGGTCATTTGGCCAGCCTGAAGGAAGGAAGAAATGGCAGATTCAGACACACAGTCAAAGCTTGGCCAACAAATAAGATTTTTATGGGAAAAACACAAAATAAAAAGTTGAATTTATCTTACCTCAGCTACTATTTATATGGTTGTGCAGACGTTGGTTAAATTATGCCTCAACATTAACATGAGCTAAGACTTAAAAAAAATCATATTCTCCATAAGAACACACAAAAGAAACTGGCTCCCCCAGTTCATAAACAATGTTATCTCCATAAAACTAACAAAGAAAAGATTGTCAGCCCTGTGTACAAGCAAGCTCCAATACCTGTATATTGGCCATCTCGCTCTGCAGCCTGACACGGGCCTCCTGTGCTAGTACCAGCTGCTGCTGGTACCACTGCCGCACGTTTTGGAGTGATGCGATTTCTGTTTCGGACACCTTCAGCTTATTGGTCAGCGTAGTCCGTTCTAACTGCACCTTCTGAAGCTGGCTCTGTAAGGAAGTCAACTGCTGTCGCAAATCCTGAACTAGAAAAGGAAAAAACAAAGAATTCAGCCTATGATGCTCCACAGTTCTATTTTTCATCTACATATTTTCAAAATCTATTGCTATATTCATGCAGCATTCATGTGCGTAACTATATAAAGAATTGTCTGTTCCTGCAGAAGAGGAAATACTAGAATTCAGAGCATCAGGGTTGTAACAGAACATAAGTATAATAGGTGTCCAAGGTTACTTAGAGTTAAAAAAAAAAAAAAAAAAAAAAAAAAAACACCCTATTTAAAAAGATCAGAAAGTACATATCTGACATCAAGTTCATCATTACAAAATCAGTATGTGTGCCATTTTAAAAATCACAAGTTCATTCTCAAACAGTTCTTATTTATGCCTCCCTCTCCAAGCAAGCAAGACCCTGAAAACTGTGACACTTCTGAGACATAAAACACAAAATAATCACCTTACAATTAAGACCATTTGATTAATATTCTATTAACGAAAGATGAACTAAAATTCCTTCTAATGTTAAAMCTCAGAATTTTGTTGAAAATACAACAGCTCACCTGTGCTATCTCTAGTGAGGACATTCTTTTGCATATCTTCAACCTTCAACATTAGTCTTTGGTACTGCTCCTCTGCCAACTGCAAATCATTATTGGAAGCTGCTAAACTGGCATTCTTGGCTTCCAAGGCGTTTTGCAGCTCAGCCATTGCTCGTTCCAGATCCCAGCACGACTGCTTTAGCGTGGCCACTTCTGAGCTCAGAGATTCCTGCTTCTCTTGGCTGTTTTGGCTGTATTCCACCTGCGCCTGAAGCTTCATGTTCAAAGCTGCAAGTTGTGCCTGGAGCTCAGTCTTCTCTTTGAGAGCCTGAGCATGTCCAAAAAAAATTAAATACAGAAGTCTCATGAGAAAGTTAGTAGATTAAGAAAATGGACAAATATATTAACGGCTGACTAACACATATGTTTAGCAAAAAGGTTTTACTGAAGACCACTTGCTTCACCGTAAAATGATTTTTAAATGTGATACCTCTATTTTTTTTCCAACATACAAGGAAAATACTGAAAAAACGCACAAGATGCATAGCATCTTTATTAAAAAACTGAACAGAATATTGGCATGTTAGACAGACATTTCCACACTAAGTAGAGCCATCAATCTGCCCAAAGAAAATACAGCTAAACAGATATTGGTAACATTAGCTTGGATTTATCATTTCTTTTACTCAGCCTGTTCCCCCTCTCCTCGTTAAATCTCTTGAAGACTTCGACTTAAATTTTTCYTCAACATCCTTGTAATGTATCCTACTCAACAATATATTTACAAAAACAAACTCTCAATAGCAAGGTGTAGGAGGCTCTTGAAAAATAATTAACATAATTTGCGAAATAGAAAATGAATTTTAATTTCTCTACCTGATTAGCTTCCAGTGAGAGTGCTTCTAGCTGCCCTTCAAGTCTCATCTTCTCCTTTAAGACCTGCAACACTTCATCGTGGGTTCCTGCGATAGAGCTTTCCATAGATACACTGGAGACAGAGACATCACATACAGTTAGATGTCTGGAATACAATCCTACCTGAAGAGAAGTGAAACTGAAATTAAGACTTTCAGACTTCAAGGCAATCTACTTCCTACATGACCTAGAACTTGGGGCATTTTTTTCTGGCTTTATGAAGTATCCAGAACACAGTGAAACAACCTTCACTTCCACCCAAAAAGACAAAAAAATTACTTTCACACTTAGGTTACACAGGCTAGCTTCCCATATTTGAAGCAACTAGAATCTACTGCATATTTGTGATTTTGCAAAATCATAAAATTTAAAAATGATAAAACATTTGATTAACTAACCAAAATAGATCTAGATCTAATGTTAGCAAAAGACTGATGCTTAGAATGCCTACTTCAGAAAAATATGACAGAGAGTAATAGCCTCCCTGTAATACATTTTTTTGCTTACCTGCTGGAAATACTCTCTCTTCTACTCCGTACTTCTCCATTAACTCCTTGCTCTTGGGCCTGGTGCTCCACTGCCGCAGCCTGGAGCACCTCACTGAYGGAAGGAAATTGCCCCATCGCATCAGGATGTATCTTCTGACCATTTATTGTATATGGAATACCCTGTTTGTCTTCTGCATTCTGTAATCTGCTGTACAGCCCTTTTCCTGACACACTGCTATAGGTAGAGCTGTCGCTCTCATTTCCATCCAGCCTCATTCCCACTTCACTCCCATCAATCTCTGAAATACTATCTCCTGCTAAAGAGGAATTCTCTATTCGATCATCTATATCAGAGGGTTGACTAATCTCAGAAACAACTGAGGTTGGACCACTTCTGTTTTGCTTCAGAGTCCCACCAGATAAATCAGCAGCCACCAAATTCCTTGTAGCATTTGTAGTGTCCAAATCTTCGGTTCTGTAATCAGCCAAGGACCGAATCTTACTGGATTTAGATTTTGAACTTCTTCTCTCTTTTGAGGATGATGGYAGTCCCAAGCTACCCAGTTTCGGCCCCCGGGGGACACTGGTCCGTAGAAAGGAGTATTCTTTAGTCATTGCTACAGTGCTAGCTCTCGGTAAGATCTCTGGATTTAACATCAGCTCGGGATCCAACGTGCTGGAGGGCCGGTTTTTGGTTTTGGACTGWCTAGACTAAAAGAAATCAAAAGAAATCAGTGAAAAATAAATTCCAGATTATTACATTTGAACCACCACAAAGGACTTATCTTGTCTTAGAACTTAAGGTGTAATGCTTTAAGCTTTCTACCAGTACTTAAAGTTATGCAAGAATTTATGAATAAGATAAACTAAATCAGTAATTGACCCTGTTAAAAAAAAAAAAACAACCCACCACATGCTAGAAAATGAAGGTAGACTAAAATCTATGAAAATGAAAGAACGAAAGCCAAATTTTGCATGTCCAGAAGGAAAAAATATTTTCTCACACTTGTAAAAATKGTACAGTTGAAAAACTCCTGCACTGTGACACTCACTCTTTCTTGATGTCTCTTYACTCTATATTGTTTGAGCTGTTCTTCTAGCCTACGTCTTGCTTGAAGTCGTATTTGTTCTTCTTTCTCCAAAGGGAGTGAAGACTCTGCTGAGCCTGTAAGTGAAGGGTTATCTTTTTGTCAAATGGAAAAACTCAACACAGACAAGTCTGATGCAAAGAGGAAAAGCTCCATCAGCAACATGCTGCATGCTAAAGCAAGACACACAAGGAAAGCCTTTCAGCACGCACCTCGGAACACCCTGCGATATAGCCTTGTGTAAGCATTCATATAGCCAGTGATTTCAACTTTTCAGTATACAATTGGTGTAGTTTCTCCAAATACCCAATCCAAATGCTACAGCAAGACCAAGGCCATTACTAATCATACCTGGTCTGCAGGTCTGAGAGAAGTGGAATTATAAAACTGARTAAGAGTATAAGGTCTATTCACCCCTTACAGGTCAGGGAAAGGTTATTCCCCAGATACATTATCTTATGCTTCTTTAACCCACACTAAAACTTCGCATCAGTAAGGCTTTTTAAAAAGCTTTATTATAAATCTTGAAAAATCCTGCAGTCTGAAACACTCCCCCACTTATTATTTAGCTTAAAAATCACCTGGTTCTGCTGTCTGTTTTCCTTCACAGTCACCTGTTACTCCTGATAATTAGGAAGATTAGAATAGCTCCAATCCCAGAAAGCATAAATTCCCCTTCAGCATAAGAATAATTTTTAAATGTTAAGGCACGTGCTTTAGTTGCAGCAGAAGGCGATTACTGAAAGAAAATGAATTTAGGTTCAAAGTGAAAGCTTACTGCAAAAATGAAGTTTAGTCTAAGCTTATATGAACTCTTAGGGATTCTACAGACAGGCTCAGAGTAAAAAGCTTTATGCAGCAAGAGAAAGCAGGGGCTCTACAGTAAACAGATGCTTACACAATTCAGTTTCTTGCATKGGAAGACTTAGTTTGAGAGACTGCAAAGCTTCTTTTCTAAGAACTATGCCCTCAGCACTAGTYCCCTGAGACTTCCTTATGTTGCCACGGAAAGCAGCCACACCTGGGGATGACTCTTGACCCTGCAGACTGCTGGTGGGATCGAAAGATAAAGGAGAGTCGGGGAAGAGCGACTCTGGCCCATTCTGACAGGCTTCGCCTTTGTTGTTGATCTCCAGGCTTCCCTCTTCATTTGGCACTTTGTTGACATTAATACTGGTAGCTGGGAAAGAAAGTTAAACATAGCGAAGCTGTAAGACATCCCATTAAGCTTTGCCCCTCCACCCAAGTGATAACATTTGCATTTAGACAGTATGAATATACAAACTGATAGTGATAGTTTGATAGCTATCACCAAAGGGAAATTAGAGACTTTTATACCTTCATTTAGAAAAAACAGAAAAACATAGCATAGAATACTGTGCTTCACTGCCTTAAAAACTGCATAGTGCCTTCAAACACGATCACAAACACAATATATATATATATATATATGCGCACACACACAGTTACACTAAGAACATGTGCTGGCTTTTCCAAGCTGGATCAGTCAGCTCACTGACTTGGTTCACCTTGCAATCACAAAAACACTTGTGCAGACAGGAGGGAAGAGACAGGTCTATAACAAGGACACAAAGGAGGAAAAAAATAGGACTGTTTCCACTAATAACTAACCAATGTAAGTCAGTGTTGAAGGCACTGTAAAATTGCAGCTTTGCAGCTTACACTGCCAAAACTTAATTCATGAGCTGAGTGTTATGAATAGCCACAGGATGCCAGAAATAACAAGATACTTCACATATTCAGAAATACTGTTTCTACCCATATTTCTGAAACTGCAGACATTACTATACTCAGCTTATATTTTACTCATGGTTTTATTTTCACAACTGCATGTTTTATATGTGTAGAAAAGGTTCTGGAGCAAAATTCTGGAGGAATGCTTTCTGAAGAAATGCCGTAAGGCATTTGGAATCAAAATGCTGCCTTGAACTAAAGTAATTTAATTGCTTTAGTGACCTTAAAGATGCCTTTTTTTTTTTTCTCCTCCTTCTCCTCCTTCTCTCCTCCTTTCTGAACAGTGAAGGAGAAGATGCAGTTGGATTAGAAATAACAGAAAGACATACTACCTATTTGTAAGGCACAATTCAACTGTTTGGAAAATACCCAACAAAGGGAAAGTCAGAAAAGAGTCTAATCTCCAACATAAAAGATAATGAATCATCACACAGCTACACTTTGCCAGTCTGATACAGGGCAGTATGACAAATGCAGATAAAGCCTCAGGACTCCACTTCCTTGCCTGTGASAAGATGACAAATCTGCAGCATGCTGGGAGTGTGCAAGATCAACAGCTTCATCACATGAGCACCTCCTGGCCACCAAGAAAAGTTCCTTTTACAGCAGGCACCGTGCACTGCCACAGCTGCTAAACACGGGCTACTCCACTCACCTATGCACATACCCTCATTGACCTCAAGCATGAAATTTCAAATCAAGAAAAGGAAGAAGTTTCCACAATGAGAATACAAGAGGTTTCACAGTGAGGCTACTGAACCTCCTTTCTGGAGATTCTGGAGATTTTGAAAACTTCAGAGGACAAATCCTTGAGCAACTGGAGCTAACTTTTGAAGCTAGATCTGCTCTGAGTGCAAGACTGGACTAGATGATCTACAGAAGTATTTTCTGATTTTTTTTTCCTCCTTCCCTGATATTAAAATCTACTCAGATTCTTGCATACTTAAGGTTCCTGTAAACGGATACTTTTTTTTTATTACAGAACTTGCCGCTATATAAAAATAGTTTTGAAATAAATTGTGCAGTACATGCTAGAATCTCTCTTCCATAAATAGAAGCGAAGACTTCTAGGGTACGTTTTCCAAATTAAGTTCATTTAGATAACAAACATTTACTAATTTCAGAGGCAAAAAAAAAAGAAAAAAATCATGGACTTCTGCTGCAACAATCTTTCCAAACTATTAGTTCTAAAGATTTTCAGGAACATATTCCTGAAGACATTATCAGAAGACAGAATAATAGGCTGAACAGCATGTATATAACTATTTATTTAACGGTTTGTTTTGTTTTGAATGACTAAGTTTTAAAATGAAAAATAGTTTGAAATCTTGCTAAAACTAGGAAATGATTCTGTGTAAATGAAATAACTTACTGTTAATTTCATCTCTTGTAACTGGCAGATCTGACTCAGCCTTATGACCCAGAAGTTCTTCGGTCTTGCTAGGGGCCCCTTGGCCACTTCTGTTCTCCAGCAGAACATCCTGCTGGACAGGTGAAGAGTCCATGGTAAAAACAAGCCAGGTCCCAGGAAAGATACTCTAAATAATTTGTCTCCAAATGAGCTACCAAGTCCTGTTTCTCTCCATTAGCAACAGCAGCAGCAAGATGTTAGACAGGAGCTCAGGTCTGAGCTTTGCATTGTCGGCTTGCAGCAGGCAGCAGAATAATTCCAGGAGGTCATGAAAGCAGCTCACAGCCAGATACGGATCACCAAGGAGCCGGGTTCTCTAGAAACAAACGTAGTTATTTTACAAGTCTTTCTCACGGCTTTGAAAATCACAGTGCATAAACAAGTAGCAGTTACAGATAACTCACCAGACCATCAACTCCAATGCTCATAACCAGGGCACGGAGTAACCAAGGCAATAAAATACAAACAAGCGTCCAGCTTTTGCAAATAGGAAGTGATCTATTTAATGCTTTTATTGTTTTATTTTTATTTTTTTAAGTAATATTGACACATCAATGTAATGATGCCACAGAGCCTTTCTAATGGAAATAGGTCTCCTTGGTCTCAGGTTTAGTAATCTAGAAGCCTGCTCTGCAAAYTGTAGTCTGGACTTTCAGTCTCTTCCATTTCAAGGACAAATTGTCATATAAGCTTCAATGACTTATTTACAATGCAGCAGGGAATATAGACTTCATTATTTTAAAATGACATCATTACTCTTTACTTGTCTCCAGAAAAACAAAAAAACAAATAAAAAAAAATATATATATCACTTTACAGAGCCTAAACTACTAATGACAGCTTGCATAGACAGTTGAATGTGACCCAGCTGCAACTCARCACTGGCCTTCTTTCACGGCATGTCGAGAGCAGGCTTTCCAAAGGCAGTTTATAGACTTCCTAAATGATCCTCCAGCCATCCAGAACTTCGATTCAGAGATGTATCCAGTCAGCTGATATTACGGGACATGAAGCTATTATGGTCACTCCAGTTATTCAAGTTCCGTTCAAATAGTTGCTAACAACTGGTCAGTAAAAATTGAACTTAGAAGACTGTAAATTGTTAGGGATACCAATTTACTAAAGAAGCATCAAAAATTCCCAGTTWAAAAAATAAATAATTAAAAAAAAGGCTCAAGGGAATTTTGAGTCGGGGTATTTTAGTTGTATTTTTACATGCTACCAGCAGGTACATGAGCAATGAAGAACTGAAGAGGCAGCAAATAAAAATGGAGCAGCATCTAAAACAGACATCACTACTATACAGAAAGTCAAACACACACAACAATCTGCTATTGATTTTACAACCTTTTCCATGCAGTAAAACCTACAATAAAGCTTCCAGAAGAACAACCACTAAACCATATAGGTGCTACACCAGAACAAGCCACAAAGGGACCCAGAGACAAAAGGCAAGCTCGACTTGGAGACTGCAAAACCCAGCCGATATTACATGATTTCTTGGCGACTCCTAGCTGAGAGCAGTATCTGCTTCCTTGTCACAGCCATACACATTTTAGAGGCGAATTTAAATTTTTTTTTTACGTTTCTTTTATTTTTATATAACTATGTCTGTGAAGAATGGCTTTCTCTTCCATTAATCGKCCTTAAATGTTAAGCGTTTTGTGTATTTTGGCCTCGGATCCGCGCTGGATAATTCGTTCCACAATAACCAAGGGTCGCGCGTGCCCAAACACACCCACGCCACGGAAACCCGGTAGGAAAACACGCGATTTTGTTTAAAGCCCCGGTGAGGAGGAAGGGGCAGAGCCCGGCCCCGGGGCAGCCCCCGCCCGAGGAGCCCGGGCCGAGTGCAGGCCCAAAGCCCCGCGGGGCCGAACCGAACCGGACCGAGTCCCTCCCCCCGCCGCGGTTCCCCGCGCCCGCAGACCTGGAGCTGCCGCCGGGCGCTCGGCTCCAGCCCGAGACGTGGCGCTGCCTGGGCGGGAAGGGGCGGGCAGGGCGCGGCGGTGCAACGCGC